GCCTTTGGCCCAGGGCGCAATCCTGGAGACCCGGGATCGAGTCCCACGTCAGGCTCCCGGTGCATGGAGCCTGCTTCTCCCTCTGCCTATGTCTCTGCCTCTCTCTCTCTCTCTGTGACTATCATAAATAAATAAAAATTTTAAAAAAATAATGCTTCTCATTGTACAGCTTTTGATTAATATACTTTATGAATATGACTATATATATATATACACAATACTTTTATTTTTATTTTAAAAAAAATTTTTTTAAATTTTTCGGGCACCGGGAGCCCGACGTGGGACTCGATCCCAGGTCTCCAGGATCGCGCCCTGGGCCAAAGGCAGGCGCCAAACCGCTGCGCCACCCAGGGATCCCATGAGAAGCATTAATAGTGAAGCCAGCTGCAAATATATTCCTTTGAAGTCCATGTTTCCTCAAGCATCAAAAACTACCAGTCTCTTAGTCTTTTGTTTTCTGTATTTTTGATGTGTTAGTTTCAGGTTTACAACATTTGACAATTCTGTACATCACAAAATGTTCACCACCAGAAGTGCAGTTACCATGCGTTACCACATAAAGTTAGCATAGCTATACTTTTCATTTGCATAAATCACTCATAACTGGAAGTTTGTACCTTTTCACGTAGTTCTCCGGTCCCCTACCTCCCTCTGTCTGATAACCACCAGTTTGTTCTCTGTGTTTATTAAGTCTGTTTCTTTTCTTTTTTTTTTTTTTTTTACACATTATTTTGTAGCCACATTCTCTGCATGTGATTGGATCCCTGAATTTTATTTTCACTGTGACATTTTCCAGAGATCTAGATTGTTGGCTACCACTTTGAGGGCTTACCATCCTTCTGAGTATCCACTGTCCATCCCCACATAGCACAGAGAAACTTTTCGCTGTGTGCTTCCAGACATATTTTCACTTGTCATTGTCCCTCCCATCCTTTTATGCAAAGGATATGCAGGCTCACATGGGCCATATAGTCACCCTGACTCTCCTTCTTGCCCTGGTGTTTGAATCTGTAGCATTGCTCTGAGCAACTGGTGGTTTGTGGCCCATCTGACAGACCTGCTGGATCACTGCAAGCTCCTCCAGTCGCACAACCTGTAGTAAGTGTGTGGCAGCCATGCCTGCCCTTGGGTTGGGCTGTGGGAGGGCCCTGAATGGAGCAGGCCAGGGATTTGGGTCTCCTGTTATGTTTTCTTTCAGCTTTGGATCTAACATGAGAGAGTTCCTCCTGCTGGAATACGCCTCAGGACTGTTTGCTCATCACAGGTAGGAAAGCCCCAAGGATATGAGGTGCTTTTCAGCATGGATGTACCACTGGGTCTTGGATTGTGTTCTCCCCTGTCTGGTTCCCTGAAGGCAACGGGTCCAGGGGAGGAGCCATCTTGGTGCCAGTCCCCAAGCTCCAGGGCAGCACATGGGCTCATCAGTCGCTCCTGTCTGTCTTTGGATGTTTGCAGCCTGTGGCAGCTGGGAGTGGACTACTTTGACTACTGCCCTGAGTTGGGCCGAGTTTCCTTGGAGCTGCACATTGAGCGGATCCCCCTGAGCACTGAGCAGAAAGCTCTCAAAGTACTGCGGATTTGTGAGCAGCGGCAGATGACTGAGCAAGGTGAGCCCACCCTCCTCCTGCATGCTTGCTGCTTATGCTGCTCTGGCCAGACTGGAGAAAGGCTGGGCAGTGGGTGCCAAGAGATAAGCCAAAACAGGAAAATTATTGAGGAAGGACAAATGGCTAGGGAGGTGTCAGGACTTAGAAGCAGTGGAGCACACGGCCTTTTAAAAAGATCCTGACCCACTTCCTCTCTCCTGCTTACTCTAAGAAGGTCAGGACTGAGATCAGCTTGGAATTTACTTCTCCCAGATGGGTTGCTGTTGCTAGCTAAGACTGTCTCAGTGGGGAAGCAGGATCAGTCGCAGCTCAGGAAGAGCACAAAAAGAAAGCTGTTCTATTTCGCCCTCTCCTTTCACTGTTGAGGGATAAAAACCCAAGTTCTTTCTAGAGGCATCTGTTTGTTTATGACCATCTCTGAAAACGTATGGATGGCATTCAAAACCCAAAGGATGTTTGTGGCACCTGGACAGATGCCCTACTAGCTGACCTGTGGGGAGCAATAAAAATCTTTTTGTACCCCTAAAATCAAACCCACTCACAAGGCCATTCCTGCCAGGATGGGTCATAGTGTTAATAGAGCCAGGAGGCAATTTATAAGCCCCAGAGTCCCCAGTGTTGGCAACAAGTTGTATTTGGAACCTGTGAAGAGGCTGCAGAAAGCTCAGAGGAGAGAGAAGCCTACTCCTATCTGGCAAGGTTCAAGAACGGCCTGATCTGCAGGGTGAAAAGTTCACCTTCTTTCTTTTTCCTTACAAAGTCCGCAGCATTTGTAAGATCTTAGCCATGAAAGCTGTCCGCAACAATCGCCTGGGCTCTGCCCTATCTTGGAGCATCCGAGCCAAAGATGCTGCCTTTGCCACGCTGGTGTCAGACAGGTGGGCTCAACCTCACCTTGGCTTTCTGGGGACTGTCTGGGAAGTCGGGAGGCTGAGGAAGGTGGCCTGGGACCGCCACTCAGACCTCTGGGCCGGGCCTGGCAGGTTCCTCAAGGATTACTGTGAGCGAGGCTGCTTTTCTGATCTGGATCTCATTGACAACCTGGGGCCAGCCATGATGCTCAGTGATCGACTGACCTTCTTGGGTGAGTCTCTGGGCTCTGTCCCTCGGACCTTCAGCACAGTGATGGGTTGTGAAGATGGGAGGGACTTATTTAGGCTTTTCCAGTGTTTCCTTCCTGTTGAGCCCAAATTCCTTGAACTATGTATGCCAGACTGTACAAAGCATATTTTCTGGAAACATTTCCTAGTAGTGTCAAACTTGAGAAAAAGGTACAAGAGTAGTATAAGAAGTAAGGAGCTCCCATGTACGCTTTCTCGAAATTCACCATTTTTATTTTGCCTCATTTATTATTCTCTCAGGTTTTGGGGAGTAATCTGAAAGTTGGAGAGTTCCCCTTTCTTCATAAATACTTGAGCACGTGTTTCCTAAGAGAAGCACATCCTCCTCTAGAACTAGCTATCCGAATGTACTGCTCTCATAAAATCTCTAGTCCATGTTCTGGTTATATCAGCTCTCCCAGCGATGGCTTTTGTCACGTCCACATTCACAAATTCAGTTTTCCTGTCTCTGTAGTGGTTCTGCATTTCTTAGTGCTTCTGCACTTCTTCACCTTGACTTTTTTTTTTTTTTTTAAGATTTTTATTTATTTATTCATGCAAGAGAGAGAGGCAGAGGGAGAAGCAGGCTCAATGCAGGGAGCCTGATGTGTGGGACTCGATCCCGGGACTCCAGGGTCACGCCCTGGGCCAAAGGCAGGCGCTAAACCGCTGAGCCATCCAGGGATCCCACCTTGACATTTTTGAAGAGTCTGTTTTGCTTTCTTATGCCCTTATTTTGGATTTATGTCAGGTTTCCTCATGATCAGATTGAGACCTACGGGTTCTTCAATCTGTTGCAATCCACATCTCTGGTTTGGTTTGGTGGTTACATTCTGGGAGGTTGGCTCTTTGGAGCTCCTTCAAAATATGTGTGTGTGTTTTCAATTCTGTTGGTACATGAGTTTGGAGACAGTTCTGGAAGAGTCTCCCTGCTTTGGAGCGGCTGGTCTGGGCTCTCTCATCTTGTTTAGGGCCAGAGGTGACTCAGTGCTCTGTTTTCTCAATAGGAAAGTACCGCGAGTTCCACCGATTTTATGGGGAGAAGCGTCTTGCTGATGCAGCTTCTCTTCTCCTGTCATTGATGACTTCCCAGATAGCCCCACGGTCTTTCTGGGTAATACTATTAATAGATGCCTTGCCCCTTTTGGAAGAGAAAGAGGTACAGTTTGAATTCAGAATGATTTTCTTCTCTGTGTTTTGTAGTCCTTGATCGTGCTTCATTCTGTAGCTGTTGTGGGTGCACATCCACACATCATCTCCCAAGTAGGGCCCTGCATGTATGTGTGCATTCCCCTGTAATGCCCACTCTGAAAATCTGGTATCTACCTAAGAAAAGCTACTTAATTTGAAATGAAGCAGCAGTCTACTGACAGTACTCCGCCCAGGGCCCTGACAGGAAGGGCTGGGAGTGAGCATAAGGGCTGTGTCCTCCCAGAGCTGCATATACAGAGCTCACTCCTCCCAAGGGTTTGCACAGAAGGCCATCTCTGAACCCAGGTGCATGCCCAGACCAGTGCAGCCCTTGCCTGGGGAGCAACTAAGTAAAGCAGCCACTCCTCTCTCTCCTAGGTGGTTTTTTCAGCAGAGCAAACATATGAGCTGATGAGATGTCTAGAGGACTTCGCCTCAAGAAGGCCAGTGTGGAGAGAGCCTGGTGTTCAGCGACTCCAGGTTATTTTAGCTTTTGGATTGTTGATTCCATAATGGTGATGAGAAAAGGCTCCTTCCATCTTAGACTTCCCTACTTTCCTCCAGAAACACTGGCTCCTTACAAACTTGTGCTTCTTGAGTTACCTTTTAACCTGTTATTGACACACCCAACTCTTTAGTAGAAAGTAGGGTGGTTCTAGTGTTCTGTTCTTTTCTTCTGGCGGTCACAGTGGCCTTTGCATGTGGTTTTGTCAACTTGCTGGTAGCTAGTACTAAATGCTAAATGCCCTTGGTCTGCCTTTGGGTCAGATAGAGCCTTGCAGAGCTTTAAAGAAGGAACACTTCTGCTGTACCTCACGCTGGCTCTCTTTGCTTTTAGGAGGACGTGGAGAACACAAAGTTGGAAATGCTGAGACTTGCTCTTGCACGAAATCTTGGCCGGGCCATTATAAAAGAAGGCTCACTGGAAGGATCCTGAGGTCAGCCAAGAGCTGCTTCAATGTGGCATTTTCATATGGCAATGTATATAGATTTCTGAAAGAATAAATTTTTCTTCCCCCAAATAGAAGGCAAATTCTTGGAGTCCAGCCTAGGGAGTTTCCCCTCTACTGTGAACCTGAAGTTGGTGGTAATTAAGAAAGTGCTTGTTATGTTTTCCTTGGATGGAACTGGTCTCCCTGTCTCCCAAGAGAAAAAAAAGCCACTCCTACAAGTCATGACGGTGAGTGCAGTTCCCTCCTTCCCTATTAGCTTAAACAAGAGTGGTCAGTGGTTTACTTACGCTTCTGAAATTTAGCCTTTACAATCACTTGGAACCTTTACCTGGTTTTTACTTTAGAAAAGGAAAAGGTCCAGGAACCTGTACTTTGACCAACAAAAATCTCAGGTGATGCCAGCATATCTGCCTGTATATGTCTGGAATTCCTAAGTGGTGCTTTGTCCACAGGAGAGTGATTGAATGGTCATCTGTATTAGGATTCCACGTAGGGCAAAAATGATTTTATTTGACATGCAGCAAAACAAGGGCAGCAGAGTCAGTATATTGTACACAGCCATTTGTCACAAAGCAGTGACCTCAGTAGTAACACTCAGATAGTTTTAATGTCTAAAGCTTATTATAAAGGTGTATTTTCCATATAGTAATCCCACAAATCTTCCCAGGGCTGCAAGCAGCCAGTCTCTGGAAAGCTCTTAAATTTATAAGTAGTGAAACTGATTCACTTTTGACTTGTCCTAATGAAGCAGTGAAACCTGCTTGCTCAAGATGGAAGGGAAGGAATATAGTAAGGAAACCTGGCAAAGTGCAGGGAGGAATCAGGGAGTGTGGTTTGTGCCACCTTTCCCCAAAGATGGCTCTGCGCCATCCAGCTGAGCTCAGGTGAGCTGTGTGCTCTTTCCTCAGCTGGTGGAAGCAATTTTCCTGTTGCCCCATGAGGCCTAGACTCCCTGGCCCAGTTGCATCTGGTAGATGGAGCAACTGGCACAAGCTTTCTGGAGCTGAGCACTGTCAAAGCAACAGGGTCTGGTGACTCGATTCAAGCATGGTTCCTGATCTCACCACCTCCAGACCCCATATCACGGTGACTGTGCCCCTCAGCAGCTGGGGATAGTCAAGGTCCCTGGGCAACAGGTAAGGATAGAAGTCTAGTGCAATGTGCCTGACCCTGAGGCCTCCTATTCCCAATCACATGCCACACCACAGGCCATCTGATGGGAAGAGGGGGAGGCCCAAGCAGGAGGACGCAGAGGGTGATGGGAGTTGTTCTTCCCTTCAGAGGCTTGAAGGGCAGAAGAGCAGTTTATTTCATGCCAAGCAAGAGGTAGTGAATAGGATGGCCTGTTCTCAAGGCAGGAGGCACACTTTCCCCAGAAAGCTTTGAGTACCTGCTTCCAGAGAAGGGGAATACTGGTTCTCTTCATTCTTTCATACCCCTAGTTTTGGCTGCCACAAGGCCGAGTTCTGTTCCTAACAGGCTGAGTTCCACAGCCTGCCGAGATGTCCATAGGACACAGCCTGCCACCGCCAGAGACAAGCATACAACTGGTAACCCGGTGGCTGTTCCAGGATGATGCTGCCCACGGAAGGCAGAGTTGGAGATTCAGCAGTACATCACCTCACTCTGCCCAGGGTGGCTCAGAACCACTCGGCTTTGCCTACCTCTCCGGAGGTGGGAGCAGGAGCCTGCCAGCAGGGGAAGCACAGAGTAGTGATGGGGGCTGAGGCCTCTAGGGTGTGAGGATGTGGTCCTTGGGATTCTCTTAAGTCTCTTTAGAGACGACTCCTCTGCGGCGTCAGGATACCAACACGAGGGAAAAAGCCTCCTCCCTGCCTTGGGTCCATGTTCCCAGGGCAATAAAGAGTCAAGCCACTCCCCACCCCTGACAGTACAGGGCCACTTCAAGTCACACAGGTAGATAAAAATCAGGTCCTTTTAGGGGGCCAAGGGAGAGAGCATCACAGCAGCAGCTCGGCTCCTAGCAGCGATGCCCAGGGCCTCTGCTCCATATCCCAGCTCCAGGCACTGCAGGCAGGACGTGGAGGATGACTGGACCAGAGAGCCCTCCTGTCTCAAGGCAGCTTGCCTGGGCTTCAATGTGGAGGTGACACGGAGTCCTCTGGGGTCATAGGTTACCCCACTGTTCCACAGGAGGGAACTCATCCACCTCGCCCACCTCTGTGCTCAGTTGCTCTCCCAGGGCAAAGGTCAGCCTATACCGAAGCCTCGCCTTCTCCTGTGACAGAGGGACAGCATGTAACATGTGGCCTAGGGCCCCTTACCATGCCATTCCCACCACCCCATCCTCACTCAGCCACCAAAACAGGCCAGGGACACAGTGAACACTGCAGTATCATGGTACTTCAGGCATGGAGGTGGAGGTTCTGATATGGGGCAGTGAGAGCTACAGGCTGGACCCCAGTTCTAGCTCACCTTCAGTGGGTTGGCCAACAGCATGACCTGGGTGATGGCTGCAGGTGGCTGGATGGGGCTAAATGGAGATAACTCTGTCCCAGAGGGTGGCTGTAACTTCACCTTCATTGACTGAAGAGAAAGAGAAGCTCCTTTAAGGAGAAATGGCAGGAGCCCACTAGTCACGATGGACACACGCTGCTGCCTGTTGGCCTCAGGGTCCCTCAACACAGTGGGGTTCAAGGGAAGGTAACCTGTACCTCTTGAGGCCCCAGGGAACCAGGGGTACCTTTGGCACTGCGGCCTGCAACACAATGCTTTTGATAGGCAGGGGAGCTGTATTCAGCATGGACACCACCACGACCAGCACGTCCGGCCGTCCAGGCGGACACTCCTTGGCAAAGTGGAAGAGGATGCGGAAGCCATTTTTATCATAGGCTGTCACAGGAAGAGCGCTGCCTGTAAGAAGAGGTCACATGGGTGTGGAAGGAGAAACCCCACAGAGCCCTGAGGGTGTCTGCCACACCCCTTTAGGGAGGGTGAGGCAACCCTGTGGCCAGCAGGCACCCCAAAAGCATCTGGGAAAGAAGCTGTCAGAACTACCCAAGATTACGCAGTGGCAACAAAAGGCCAAGACAGCAGGTCACGTTTGGCTTTAAGGGACTTGGGCAGAGAGCCAGTGCCCACCCCTCTCACTCCCCAGAACACGCAAGCTGTGGGCTCCCCCCCCCCCACCATGCTTTCAACACCTACTAGGCTTGATAGATTCCAGGGGGACGTGGACACTGGCCAGGGAAAGCTCTGGCCCCTTCATGGGGCTGCCTTGGGACTGGAAGGCAGGTGGCTGGAAAAGAGGGCTGCCAGGCCCTGGGGAAAAGGGGAGGAGAGGCCGAGCAGTGGTGCTGGTGGGGATCAGAGGGGAGGTGGTGGCCCCAGGGAAGAAGATGGAAGAGACAGGTTTCACCAGGCCGGAGGTCCTGAGAAGCAGGAAGGAGCACAAGGCAAGTCAGAGACCAGGGGAAGCCGCTGGGCCAACCCCTCACATGTCTTCCAGGGAACAGCTGGTTCTTACCACCCCTTCCTCCTCTCCCCCGTGTTTCCAGAGGCCAGCTTCAGCAGACCGAAAACAAACATCCCCAGGCCCTCCAGAACTGCCTCCTGTTCTACCGAGCCCAAGTCCAACTCTCCCCACCCCCACCTTTCCCACTCATTACGCTCTGGTATCTTCGAGAAGATGATCAAGGGCATCCAGTTGGTGCAGGGTGCTATCGCCCAAAGCTGAGCCATGGTACCCGAGGGCTGTGGACTCAGCCTTTGGGGCCGAGGCTGGGGCCAGTCCAGTCGGAAACAAGAAGGAGCCTGCTTTGGGGGTAGGCCCAGTGGCTGGGACCACAGGAGCAGAGAAGGGAGAAGGCAGTGGAGCCTGGGAGCTGCCTGCAGAGGGTGCTGAGGGTGGGACAAGAGGGCCATCTGACGGGCTACAGGCAGCACTCCCAGGCTTGGGGCCGCAGAATTCCAGGTCCGACTGCTCATTCTGTCAGGAGTGGAAAGTGTGGGTGAACCATAAGCATGGAGGAGCTGTTGCAGTTGGTGGCTTTTGGGTCTCCAGCTCTGGGCCCCACCCTGGGGGCCCAACAGGCAGCCCCGTGGCTGTGATCAGTGTTCCCAAGCCCACCCAGGGCAGGGAGTATGGACAGCCAGGGCTGCAGCCAACTGTGGCTGAGGAGTCATGAAAGAGGAAGTCTGTGGAACTGGTTGAGCTTTTTAGTGATGCTTCTACCTGGAACAGGGGCCACTGGCTGTTTCCAGCGGAGTCTTTGGAAGGAGCAGTGGGTGCTGGATCAGTAAGGCCTGTTAGAGAAGATGATGGTGATGAGAAGGGGCTCTGGCCTTGGGCAGCCCCATTTACCCTAGAAGGGTCACATGACAAAAGTCGCTGACAAGTGGGGACTAGGTATTTTTCCAGGCAGCCTCCAGAGGGAAATAAATCCTCTTTAGTCCTTACATTGAGGGGGGTTAGCCTCTGGACTGAGCAAGACACTCAGTCCACCATGTCCATTCTGGAGCTTGTATGCAGACCACCCTGGGAGCCTGAAGGCATTGAACTTGACTTTCCCTATACCTGAAGCCTCCTTTCCCCATTCCTGCTAAGTACAGGGGCAGCCCTGGGTCCTTTTCCCAATTCACAGGCCTTTCTGCCCTGTTGGCCCCACCAGAAGCTCTTCACAGCCTCCCCCCGGGACACACCCAAGCAGAGCAGCTCCTCGTCCAGCAGGCAGAGGGCGTTGCTTGTGCTGTTGGGTGTTGGAGTGGCCTCAGCCTGGCTGGAAGAGTGGTTGCGCCCAGGTCCTGAGGTCTGAGGGGGTGGAGGGAGGATAGGGATGCCGGAGGATGGTGGGGCTGGTGCCAACACTGAGGATGAGCTGCCTGGTGTGTCCAACTCAGCAAGGTCGATGAGAGTGCCTTGGTTCCTGGAGTGGTTTCCTAGATGGGCGAATGGAAGGGAACAGGGGTGAGTAGGGGCCATGCTAGTGGCTGCACAGAGGAAGCAGAACCCTAAGTACAGCCTCTAGCCTAACACTGGACAAAGGCAAGCAAACAAAGAAAACCCTATCCATAGCCTCTGGCCTCTCAGAAGCTGGAGGAGCATTTGGAAGGGCTTAGAATCCCCTTGGGCCCTGTGGGGTGACATGCAGGTCAAGCACTCCCCGCTTGGTGGTAGGGCTGGGGCTGGTCTGGATGGATCCAAAGGGAGAAGAACATTTTACCTTCCGAGTCTGGCATGGCTGAGGTGGCTACCTCACCATTGATAACCTGCCCTTCAACGACTGTTTTGTAAGAGTTGATGACCCGGGAGAGGTTGTCACTGGCCTGAAGGATGTCCCCTAGAGCAGAAAAAGGTACTTCTCACTCCCAGCCATGACACTACTCCCACCCTCACCCTCCCTGGCCAAATCCAAATTCCTGGGTCATCCTTGTCAACTACTCTTTGACTCACCCAAACTATTGTCATTGTCCTCTGTCTCACTGGCTAGTTTGAATAATGTTCGCCTCTTATTCTCACACCGATCAAACAGCTCCTGAAAGAGTCCCAAACCTAAAGGTGAGAGCTACAAAGTCCCTTGGAAGTGATCTAATTCAGTGTCCACGTCCAGAAAGACAGAAGGCTTCTCTACTGCCCCAGTCGGTACCTGGCAGAACTGGGCCCCCTATGCCTGCTGCCGGCTTCCACCGCGCTGTGTCACCTAAGATGTCTGCTTAGGACCAGGGGAAACGTTTCCCTTCCTGTCCCCAAGGCCAGCACGTGCCTCAGAATTCAGAATATCTACGTGACGAAGGACTAAGGTGCAGCACCAGGGGCACACGGTGGGTGGCTCTGCCCTATTGCTCCTGAGGCAAGGATGCCAGGCAGAGAGCAGTGAGCCCTGAGGTGGGTCTGCGGAATCACACGGACTCGGGGGTACACACAGCTCCCCTGCCATGTGCGTTAGCCATAGTCTGTGTAAAACGAGGGCGGCCACCGTGCTGATTAATAAGGAACAGCAGGGCTGAGCAGGCTGGCTCCCTTCCCTGGAGCCTGGCTCTCGGGATCGCCTACCTTCATGAGCTCTTTATCTGCCTCTGAAGAATCCTCTTTACTGTAATGAAGCAGCATCTCATTGAGCAGCTTTACGTTGTTGTTAACCTCCTCTAAAGTGTGCAGACGCTTGGTCACCTTCTGGATCCGCGCCTCATCCTACATCAAAGACAAGGAGAAAAATCTCAACCAGACTCCTCTCCCTGGCTCCCCAGCCCCCCCCCCCCCCCGCCAAGGGATAGCCAAGGATCGCACCAGAGAACGTAAGCAGAGGCTAGTCCCGGTGGAAACTCCTTTTAATGCACAGTTCTTGGGAACCACAAGCCTCAGTCCGTATTTAGTTTTTCTTTTATATAACGGCCCGTCCCCACCCCTAAACCGGCCCCGTGTATGCTTGCTCCTCTAATCCATTCTTCCCCAGAAGCCCCAATGGCCTCTCGTGATGGCGGGGGGGCAGGGATGAGCAACAGGCCTCACAGCGGAGGAAGGGACTCTTGGTCTGTGGTCATCTGTTCCTCCACCCCAAGCCCGAGGCCCACTCACTTCCTTCACCATGGACTTGATGAGCTTGTTGGCCTCTTGTAGGTCATCCGGGTTTTTGCTTTTCAGCAACTTGGCTAAAAGCTGGAAGAGGAGGTACCAAAGGTAAAGGGAAAGGCAGCAACCTACCTGGGGAGACCGCAGACGGGCTGGAGCTCCCGCAGCACTGAGCCCACGCCTCATCTGAGGACGCCATCTGCGGGGGCGCACTTTACCTTGGATTTCTCCTCATCGTCAAAAACAGGATTTTTGGGACGAGGTGGTGGAGAGGGAATCAGTGTCCTGTCCATAGGGATCAGCGGGTCAGACTGCACTATGCCTGACAGGAACACAAGGGGGCAGAGCGTTGGCTCAGGCCGGGGTCCCCCTGACCCCTTCCTCACACGGCAAAGAGGGGTACATCCCTGTGACGAGGGCCTGCAGAGGGTGAGAGGGCAGTACACACCTCTGCCCCTCAAAGTGCAGCTGAGCCCTTCCCGTTGTCCTGAGGAGGAAGGAAGGGACGGCAGACAGCACCCCCCTCCCTGGCCTTAGCCAGCCTCTGGGGCTGCTTGGAGGCTGAGGGAAGGTAAGCACATACCCTGCCTCTTCAACATGTGGTAAGCATCCTTGATCTTGGTTTCTTCTGGCAGGGCCAACGTCCAGCTATAAAGCAGCTCGATAACCTTGGTCTTCACTTTCTCAGACACCCTGTCCCCCAGGTACTAAGAGGCAAAAGGAAATGGGAAAAGCTCATAACTGCCACCTGGAGGCAGAGACCGTGGGAAAGCTCTTCAGCAATGAAAGGCTGCGAGTTGGTTCCAGCCTCCAGGCCCACCCCAAAGCCAGAAGGTATCTGTGACATGGCACGGGGAGCCAAGGAAACTGCCGGTGGCAACGCTCGCTCTCTCAGGGTACGGTCTGTGGTCAGGCAGGAAGCGGGGAACCCGCCACCTGGTTTCCATGCATCATCTCCCAGAAAGTGACATTTTACCTCAAGGGAATGAATGAGAATGGCTTAAGTATGAGAAACAGCTCTCTATGCTTTAAGTGGCGCCCGGAGCTTAAGAGCAACACCAGCATGCCCCAGGAGCTGAGTGGCTGAGTGATGAGAAGACTAACCTCTTGGATCCACGCAAGACAGACCAAAGTGACCGCTGTCCCTAGCGCCTCCCCCCCCCCCCGCCCACCTGCTGCCACATCACCTCACATTCAGCCCAGGAGTCCGTTAGAGGGTTCCCCTCAGGGCCTAGCTCTCTAAGGACAGGACATGGACAGCTCTCTAAAGACAGTTCTGTAGAGATGTTTGTACCGTGAAGCCAGTTAAGATGGGGGGGGGGGAACCACAAACGGAGTTCCTAGAAATGAGGAGACTGCTGCTGACTGACCTTTGGAGAGACGACTTTGATTAACTCATTCAAAAACCGGAACTTTCCCACTTCATTATGAAATCTCCTCCCACAGTTCTTCATGCACGCCTCCAGCACCTGCAGCCACATGAGGGGGAGGCACTCAGTGCCGGGGGTGGGGGGTAGTTTCTGGGTGGGAGCTGGCGCTCAGCCAGGACCCTGTCCACAGAGCACAGCGACTCTGCACCCAGAGAAAGAACTTGCAAGTAAGCTGCCTTTAGTAGGAAGTAGTGTTACTTTTAGCTACAGAGCAAATTATACTCGCCGCACTTTCCTTTAGTTGGCCAACTCCGGTGACTGGCAAGATCAGCATCTCTCCAAGAACCTGCCTCTGAACTCCACCCTGTGCTCGGGGCCCCTGCCTCTGGCTCCCACCCTTTGTCACTTGGCTTCTCCCACTCGACCTGTGGCCTCACTGGCAGAGACTGCACTTCAGGCCTCTCTGCAGCCTCGGCGCCTGGCACAAGGGCACACGTAATCACGGGGCAGTTTATGGAATGTGTTCCAGATGGATCTTGTATCGAGGATTTCAGTTACCTTAGGATGTGAGCCCTGAAAACCTCAGAAAACCCAGTGGGCAAAAGGCCTGTGCTCATTAAAATCCACCGTCAGAATGAAACAACCTACCGTCAGGGCCTGAACCGCCTCCCATTCCTGCGGAGACTGGATCTTATGGGCTAGCAGTCGGACAGCGATCTGTGGCCTGGGAGACAAGAGACCACGCTTTCAGGCACTAACCCTGGGGCTACCTGGCTGGCCCTCCTTGGCCAGTTTTGACTTCTGCAGTCAGCTCTCTCCCACTTGCCCCCGCCAATGGCTTTGAGACTCACCCTTCAAGCTCTTTGTTGATCTGATCACAGAAGCCAATTATGTATTCCCAGTCCTCCTGGCGGTTGGAAGGATTGGTGGCCTTATCTTGGGACAGAGCAAAGTGGAAGACCATTGTTATAAAGAGCAAGGAGGACATAATGGAAGGTTTCCCAACAATTTTTAGACACTACTGTGAAGCTAAGTCTGTTTCCAAATTTCTTTTCTGATAGAGAACCTTCAACAGGTCAGTTCAGTATTTTGAAAGTCACAAATGAAGGGAAAACAAATTCTCAGCCTTGTGAAGCTTAGAGTAGACCATGATCAATAAGACAATTATAAACACAAATGATAAAAACCTTCCAAGATAACCATAAAATTTTTAATATAATCAATAAATATAAATAACTCTAGTTATACCAAAATAAGCAATTAAGCAAGTAGGGATGATCAAGAAGCATTTCCCGGAAAAACTGAAGCCAGGTAATATTTGATAAGGAATATACATACTTAGAAAAATTATTTCCGGGCAGCCCGGGTGGCTCAGCAGTTTAGTGCCGCCTTCAGCCCAGGGCCTGATCCTGGAGACCTGGGATCGAGTCCCACATCAGGCTCCCTGCATGGAGCCTGCTTCTCCCTCTGCCTGTGTCTCTGCCTCTCTCTCTCTGCGTGTCTCTATGAATAAATAAAATCATAAAAAAAAGTATTTCCTACATACGCTTCAAAACCTTTTACAAGACCTAATTTTCTTTTTCTTTTTCTTTTTTTTTTTAAAAGATTTTATTTATTTGTTTATTCAGAGAGAGCGAGAGAGAGGCAGAGACACAGGCAGAGGGAGAAGCAGGCTCCCTGCAGGAAGCCCGACATGGGACTCGATCCTGGGTCTCCAGGATCACACCCCGGGCTGCAGGCAGCGCTAAACCGGGCCTGCCCAAGACCTAATTTTCTTAATGCTTTAAATGTTACTTAATTTTTAGAGGAGGGAGTGAGGAGGAGGAGAGGGAGCAAGAGAATCCCAAGCAGGTTCCATGGCCACTGCAGAGCCCGAGACAGGGCTCGATCCCACAATCCCAAGACCACAAGCCATAATCAAGAGTAGTCGCTTAACCAACTGAGCCACCCAGGCACCCCCTGCTTTCAATGTTTTTTCTATTGTATATTTTAAGCTCATATTTACTGAGTCCCTACTAAGCACCAATCATTGTACTGTCTATGGGATTGCAGAAACAGAATCTGCCCTTGAGCACTCAGTACCCTCAAGTTTATTTATTTAAGAGTTTATTTATCCATGAGAGACACAGACACATACAGGTGTCCCAGTACCCTCAAGTTTAAATAGTCTCCTATGATTAAGGACAAGGGCAAGTGTTGGAGCGTTCTCAGAGGATTATCGAGGGCTTAAAACCCAGGTGCTAAATGTCAAGTCTCCTATTATTTGGTGTTACTGTGTTATTTCCCCGGTTATCCCCAGACCTGTGCTAAAGAGGCTAGCCCCCACTGAGGGTGGTTAAATGTATTCCCATCTCTGATTCAGACCTTGGGAGTCTGCTTCTTCCAGAAAGCACTCTCAAGCTGTTTGCTAAATTTAGGGCTTCAGGTTCGGAAGACAAATGGAAGGCTGAAGGCGTATATCCTATTTAAATACCCATGCTCTTGCAAATCCCCCCTCCACACCCCCACGCCAAAAGCAGAGCAACAGAACCAAGGGGTGTCGTCAGAAGTTCCTGAATTCTGACTTCTCGTGACTGTTTTAACTTCCTTTTTCCTAACATTAAAATTCACTAGCTCCATGAACAAATCCTAACAAGGGCTCCCACATCCCCCACCCTCCCAGGGCTCTGAGGCCCAAGAAGTCAGCAGACACCACCCTGAGGCAGAGGGAAGAAGGCCTCTGCTCCAACTGTAGGAAGACTCTGATGGTTTAGGTTCATATTTGGAGGAAAAGGAAAATGTCCTCAATCTTGAAAAGACCATTAGCAGACCATCTAAAATGTCAAGCTAGAAGAGAAGCAAGACTAATTCAAGAGTGGCTATTTGTTGCCACAGTGATCTACAAGTTGTCGCCTTCCAGAAGCCCCATGTTTCTCCCATCAGTTGTCTGATACCTTCTCAGGTGTTGGCATGGCTTTGTTACTAATCTATCGTTTGAGATGCTTAAAGTTCTCACTTGACAATAAGAGCCTGAAGGAGACAAAAAATAAGACCAACTGCGGGGCCATACCCCTCCCATTGCTGCTATTATTATTTTGAGAAGAGTCACATCCCTCATGGTATAACATGGTATAACTTTTGCGCTGTTCACACTGGAAAAGCATGGCTCTAGAGTACATCATGGATGCTCCTGCCCACACACACGTGAGCAGTGGGGCCTCATCGAGCATGTTCTTCCCAGGCCTCTTGTAACTCCCATAGCACCTCTGTTCCAGGAATATGCCCACTTCCTTCTCATTTGTGCTCAACTTCTCTAGAGTCCCACTTTCTTTCACCTTGATAGACCTTCCTATTGCAAATCTGCAGGGAGCTCTCTGCCTACCTATGGGCTCGCAAAACCTTGGTTTCAGCAATGGCGAGGCCTGGGTCTGAGGATCTCCTCCAACTCTCCCTTGGAAAGCAGACCACAAGCACCCTTAGGAACTGGAGGAAGTTGGGGTAATTCTGGGTAACTCAATCTCTGCATTTGACCAGTCTCCCTCCCGCAGATGTACACGACTTTCCACCCACTCAACATGCTCCTGGCACAGAGGTGACCACAGTCTCCCCTGTAAACCCCACCTTCTAGAATTGGCCCTGGGCTCTATTCTGACTTAAGGTTTCTATTTTCAGGTCTCCCTTGCAAGCCTTATTCTCTTGCATGTCTGTGCCTCTAGATCTCCTGCTCTCATTTTCAGCTTAGTTCTAGCCCTAGCCTTGACGGTGGCAGGGCCTCAAAAGGTCAAGGAAAGATGGTTCCAGTAAGGGGCAGCACTAGCTACCCAATCCCAGCATGGCTCAGACATTTCACAGCCGACAGATTCTATGTAACACATGACTTAGAGATTAGCAGAGGCAAGACACAGGATGGAAGAGAAATCAAGAGTCAGCCTTCGGTGCTGGGGTCTTGAATCAAGAGAAACATAGTCACCAGTCTTTGTTAAGCACTCATAGAAAATTAAGTACAGGGATCAACTACACTGTAAGACACTATTCAATCAATCAATAATGTAACAAAGAAAACGAAGTACCAGAGAGGCCAGGGAGAGACTACAGAAAAAGTCCGCACTTAGGAGACCACTCTTGGGGAGGTTATGCTCTTTGGGTGCCACACGTGCGAAATAACCAAAGCAGAGTATAATTATATAATTTGGTACAAAAATGAGTTTAAAAACAAACTCATTACTTCTCCTTCCTGACTTCCTCATTTCTATAAATGATGCCATCATTCAAGGCTCCTTTTGCCTCTACACCCAGGCATCCAGCTTTGAACCCCCATTGTGGACTCCTTCCCTTTCACCCACTTTCAGCAACCCAGGGTCCCTTTCTTCTCAACATCCTTTTAAATCCCTCCCTTTCTCTCTGGCAGCTTGGGACTGAGTGCAAATAACAGAAATCACCATGATTCTTCAGAGGCTCTCAGGTTCTCCTCTCTCATTCGATCTACAGTCTCAGTCCATTTGAGGAGAAACATTGGTGTTACAGCAGTAGCATTTAACGAGGAACTTGATCCTGTACAGAAACTCTTTGTGGACAAGATTAGAGAATATAGAACTAAGCGCCAGGCATCTGGAGGACCTGTTAATACTGGCCCAGAGTACCAGCAAGACCTGGAGAAGAAGATTTTTAAGCTTAAGCAAATGTATGGTAAAGCAGACATGAATACGTTCCCTGACTTCAAATTTGAAGATCCCAAATTTGAAGTCTTGGACAAACCCCAGTCCTGAAGAAATAATGTAAAATTTATTTGGCAATTTGTCCTAGATTAGTTGTACAACTGGATCAGAATAAACATGTTTCACAACTGTCAAATGTTCAGAGAACTGTCAAATGTTCTTTTAATTTTGGTTCCAAATAAATTATTTGGTGATGTTGGGTGTACAAAAAAATAAATAAATCCCTCCCTTTCTTACCCCTGCCCCCACCCCACCTCCTCATTTCTTCACCTGCTTCCAAAACTTCTGTTACTTGCTATCCTATATAAAACCCCTAAACTGATCCTCCTAAAACACTGATTTCACCAGATAAGGTAAGTAGGGGGACCTGATGGGAAGCCTAGGTGGCTCAGAGGTTGAGCGTCTGTCTTTGGCTCAGGGTGTGAACCCAGGAGCCTGCTTCTTTCTCTCATGAATAAATAAACCTCAAAGAAGAAGAAAAAAAAAAAAAGAATGGGGATCTGATAACTGTTGAAATTTAAACTTCTTGGGCTGGAATTCAAGCTTTTCCAGAATTTGGATCTAACTTCCCAGCTTTCTCTCCCATCACACTCCTACAGGAACTCCCAGCCTAAACAAGCCAAACACCTGTTCTATATGCCCCAAACATGGTTTGCTCTATTTACATCGCTGTCTAGTGTTTTCTTAGCCAATTTTCCTCAGTCTTCAAGGCCTGGCTCGAATGCCACTTCCTCACTGAGAGAATCATCTTTCCATTCCACTTATCCCCAATTTCCTAAAGAAACTGTCTGCATTTTAGCATTTACAGCTCTTGCCCTGTACCTGTATCTTTTTAAGAATGCTTTATCCAGGGATGCCTGGGTGGCTCAGCAGTTGAGCGTATGCCTTTGGCTCAGGGAGTGAGCCTGGTCCCAGGATCCAGTCCCATATCAGGCTCCCTGTGGGGAGTCTACTTCTCCCTTGCCTGTGTCTCTGCCTCTCTCTCTGTCTCTCATGAATAAATTAATAAAATCTTTAAAAAAAAAAAAAAGAATGCTTTATCCACTCCAGCATCACCTTTATCAAACTGAAGGCAAAGACAGCTTGAACTTAATTTTCATAATACCTCATATAGCAGGTATTTGTTATAGACTGATTGAGACAATGATAGGACTTCAGGGAAGGCTGAATCAAGAGTCCATGGGCAAGGAGAACCTGAGATGGGTTTTAATAATTCTTTTTTTTTAATTTTTATTTATTTATGATAGTCACAGAGAGGGGGGGGGCAGAGACACAGACAGAGGGAGAAGCAGGCTCCATGCACCGGGAGCCCGACGTGGGATTCGATCCCGGGTCTCCAGGATCGCGCCCTGGGCCAAAGGCAGGCGCCAAACCGCTGCGCCACCCAGGGATCCCTGAGATGGGTTTTAAAGCATTTAGTTGAGCAAAGGGGAACAGGGCTTCCAGGGAGGGAGAGCAGTGTGTGCTGGTGGGACAAGAACAGCTGACTGAGCAAAGCAAGACTACCAAGGAGCCACAAAGAGGCGGCAGTAGGTGTGCAGAAGTGCTCTTCTGGGAGAACGCAGAGTGGATGGAGGGGAAGGGGAGAGACACTTGAGGCACCCGGCCAGCAGAGGCCTTTATGATTCTGGCAAACTATGGAGTGACAAGGCGCTAGACGAAAATAGAGCTAAACCACAAACACTGGTCCATTCAATTGATAAAGTTCACAACGTAGGTCATTAAGAACTGTGAAGGTGAACAACAGATTAGAATGGAAAGAATTAAAAAAAAAAAAAAGGAAAGAATCTTAACACTGCTCTTTTTTTTTTAAATTTTTTTTTTTTTTTATTTATTTATGACAGTCACAGAGAGAGAGAGAGGCAGAGACACAGGCAGAGGGAGAAGCAGGCTCCATGCACCGGGAGCCTGACGTGGGATTCGATCCCGAGTCTCCAGGATCGCGCCCTGGGCCAAAGACCGGCGCTAAACCACTGGGCCACCCAGGGATCCCTTAACACTGCTCCTAATGTCATTCTCACTAATGGGAAAGATCAAAGGCTAGTCTCAGCTCTACTGTCTACAGATATCATCCCATTCCCTCACTCACCATCTCCACTCTCCCTCAAAAACAGGTCTGTCCCTCTATTTCAAAATATAACTGTAAGCCGAGACTATTAAACTCAGCATAGGTCAAATTATTCCATTCTCCTCATTAATATCTGTGAATCAATTCCAGGGTAGTTATAACTGGTTGGATGGGTCTGGGCAAGTGGTTTGATTAGAGTCCAGAGTGTCCTCTTTTTTTTTTTTTTTTAAGATTTATTTATTTATTCATGATAGACAGAGAGAGAGAGTCAGAGACACAGGCAGAGGGAGAAGCAGGCTCCATGCCGGGAGCCTGATGCGGAACTTGATCCTGGGACTCCAGGATTGTGCCCTGGGCCAAAGGCAGGCGCCCAACCACCGAGCCACCCAGGGATCCCCCAGAGTGTCCTCTTTTTGTGAAATTGTGATAGTAGTACCTGGTTTGCCAGGGTACTTGATAAATGAATGCCTTTGGAGCAGTCTGAGCTCCTCAGAGATCAGTTCCATATACAGAAGACTTTGCGACCTGCCGGCAACTGCAGATTTTGCAAATGTAACCTAGGTTCAATCACCTGCAGGGGGTTTCTTATTAAGAAAGGTCAGGCTAGGGATCCCTGGGTGGCGCAGCGGTTTGGCGCCTGCCTTTGGCCCAGGGCGCGATCCTGGAGACCCGGGATCGAATCCCACATCGGGCTCCCGGTGCATGGAGCCTGCTTCTCCCTCAGCCTGTGTCTCTGCCTCTCTCTCTCTCTCTGTGACTATCATAAATAAATAAAAAATTAAAAAAAAAAAGAAAGGTCAGGCTAGGGATCCCTGGGTGGCTCAGTGATGGAGCACCTGCCTTTGGCCCAGGATATGATCCTGGAGGTCCCAGAATCGAGTCCCACATCGGGCTCCCTGTGTGGAGCCTACTTCTCCCTCTGCCTCTCATGAATAAAGTCTTTAAAAAAAAAAAAAGAAAGAAAGAAAGAAAAAGAAAAAAAAAAGGTCAGGCTATTGGCATAAACAGCCATCACCTCCAACAGCTTGGAGGCTCTAGTAAACAGATCCTGCACAAAGCAATCTCTAGGCATCCTGTCTCATCACCCTGTACAATTTTCTGTCTTCACTTAAAGAGGTCTCCAGGGGCCTCTTCTAAGCCCATAGGAAAATTAACTTATTAACCCTTCGGCAGAGTACTACCTGCTAACAAGGTTAACCCATATTTCCTCAGGAGCAGTACGAACTAGCAATTCGAGCAAGAGGCCGCCGCTCTAACTACCGCACTAGGCTGCGGAGGCTCCGCAGCTTTGCTCAAAGCAGGCTACCTACGAAGGGCTCAAGACGTTCAAGTGTGTGTCCCCCCAACACGGACATCACCAAGCCCTGGGCACTGCAGGAAAAGAAGGGCAGACCTCCGTCATGCCTTTTTAGATTCTCCTCGTTTCAAACATTCTGGCCGGGCGAGGAAGCCACTTCTCAAACACACGGTCACAGCCCTGAAGCTTGTGCGCGTACGCTCGGCGGCACCCACCGCTCCCGGAGTTTCCCCTCCACGGAGGCACGGGGGGCCCGGAGTCCCGGCGGCGCGCGGCCCCACCACGACCTCCCCAGGTCGCCGCTGCATGTCAGCCGGGAGCACTGGGCTGCCGCGTCCCCGGAGCCCGCGGGGCCCGGAGCGGACCCGAGCTGCCGCCGCCGCCGCGCGCAGGAGCGGGAGGAGGCGCCGGGCGGGGGCCGCGGCGCCCTGCTGGGGAAGGGGCGTGATCGCGGAATGCTCGCGGCAAGGGCGAGCCCAGGCGCGAGCTGCCAGGCGACGCGGCCGCAGACCCCTGGGAGCGGAGGGGGGAGGAGAGGGTCGGAGAGGGTCGGAGAGGGGCGGAGAGGGGCGGAGAGGGGGCTCGAGGGCAGGCAGAAGCGGCCGCGGCTACTCACTCAGCCAGGACTCCAGGCTCTCCCCTTCCGCCTCCGCCATATTGCAGCCGCCCGGGCCGGCCCAGCGGCCTCAAACCTCGCGACAGCCTGCAAGCGTCGAGCCGGGGCGGGGCCTGCATGGGGGCCTGACAGGAGAGAGCCCCGCTGCCGAGGGTCGCGTCGGGCTGCGGCGGATAAGGAGACGTCGGATGTTTCCTTCTGGCTCTTGCCTGTGGACCTCGGAGTGAGAGACTCTCAACGCCCGGATTAATGGAGTGACGTACAGGTTCAGGACCCTGCGGAGCCCTGTCCCCGTCTCCCGTCTACTCGCTCAGGCACGCCAAGGGCAGCCTCCGCGGGGTCCTCGTGGCCAGCCAAGATGGCGGCCCCCGCGGGGAAGGCTGCGGGAGGGTGGCCGATCCTGGCGCTGAGCCTGCGGAGTGCTGTCCCGCGGCTTCCAGGGTGAGAGGACGGTAGGAAGCTGGGGTGCCGCCTGGGGATTCACGGAGAGACCCTCAGGGAAGGAAAGGGCCACGGGCAGGCCCGCGGGAGCCCGCAGAAAGCTCGGGGGCTAGGATTCCTCGGCCCAAACCTCTGAATTGGCTGCGTGACTTTGGGCCAAAGGTTGTCTGTCCCCCGCGCGACGGGGCTTAGGGACTGTCCCGCGCCCGACAGGGTTCTGAATCGAAGCTGAAAGCGCGGTCTTACCAAAGAGCTCAGAGCTGCGGGTGGGGCCGGGGGAGGCGGAGATGCTTAGGCGGGGCGCCCGTCCTGAGGTTTAGGAACCTCGCCTGACCGTGGGAACTTGACGAGGCGGCTTTCCCGGTGTTTTGGGGAGAGGCCCACCCACCTCTTAGGACAAGAGCCAGAATGGTTACGTTCAGGTTTGCCTGGCGGTCTCTGCCTCTCTCCCTTGTCGGCGGGTTGGCAAACACGCCCATTGTTAAGTCAGGTCTTTCCGCGTGTGGAGTCACCTTTTGGCGACCTTTTCCTCTTCCCCCTTATCAGGCTAACCCAGGTGAGGTGGAGCCGCTATGGTCCCGAATACAAGGATCCACGGACTGACAAGGAGTATTACCGTAAGCCGGTGGCAGAGTTGACGGAGGAAGAGAAGTATGAACAGGAACTCAGGAAGACTCAGCTTATCAAAGCTGCTCCAGCAGCGAAAACAAGCTCTGTGTTTGAAGACCCCGTGATCAGGTTAGTTGGAAGCAAACACTTTTGTTCCTCGACTAGGACTATACCAGGGAGGGCCTGCAGTAAGGATTCTGTGATACAGCCTGGGAAACCTAAACATTTTGTTTTTCTTCTTGAAGTAAATTCACCAACATGATGATGAAAGGAGGAAACAAAGTACTGGCCAGATCCCTCATGATGCAGGTAAACAGCACGTCTCTCCGGTCTCCATGCTTATAGCTTTGTACGAGGCTCTTTAAGCTTAGCATAAAAAAGAACAGGTTCAGGGGCACTTGGGTGGCTCAGAGGTTGAGTGTCTGTCTTTGGCTCAGGTCATGGTCCTGGGATCGAGTCCGTATCAGGATCTCCACAGGGAGCCTGCTTCTCCCTCTGCCTGTGTCTCTGCCTCTCTGTGTCTCTCATGAATAAATGAAATTTTGGGAAAAAAAAAAAAAGCTTCACGTATCTGCCATTAGAATTACTGTCCCTGTATGGGGTCCCCAGGTGGCACAGTTGGTTAAGCATCTGACTTTGGATCTCAGCCCAGGTTTTGATCTCAGAGTCGTGAGTTTGAGCCCCGCATGAGGCTTCATGCTGGGTGTGGAGCCTACTTAAGAAAAAAAAAAAAAAGACCCCAGTATGTATGTATGTATTGTGTGGGGGTGGTGGCTTCAGTGAAGTCCTTCAGGAGTCAGGAACCACCATTCACTCCCCCAAACACAAATCTCAGCCTACTGCTCTCATCCTCTACCAGGAAAGAGGGAGGCACTTAAGAACTCTGCCTTAGGGGCAGCCCCAGTGGCGCAGTGGTTTAGTACCGCCTGCAGCCCGGGGCGTGATCCTGGAGACCCTGGATCAAGTCCCACGTCAGGCTCCCTGCATGGAGCCTGCTTCTCCCTCTGCCTGTGTCTCTGCCTCCCTCTCTCTCTCTCTGTCTCTCTGTCTCTATGAATAAATAAATAAAAATCTTAAAAAAAAAAAAAAAAAAAAAGAACTCTGCCTTAGAAGTGCTGAGAGAGGGATCCCTGGGTGACGCAGCGGTTTGGCGCCTGCCTTTGGCCCAGGGCGCGATCCTGGAGACCCGGGATCGAATCCCACGTCGGGCTCCCGGTGCATGGAGCCTGCTTCTCCCTCTGCCTGTGTCTCTGCCTCTCTCTCTCTCTCTCTCTCTGTGACTATCATTTAAAAAAAAAAAAGTGCTGAGAGAGGGACCTCACTCTTGTAGAAGAACAGGATGATAGGAGTAGAAGGCAAGGTACTAGCTCAGCTGGATAAACCTTTCAGGGAGTCTGGGGCAGCATCTTCCAATGTTTCTCTCTGCAGACTCTTGAAGCTGTGAAAAGGAAGCAGTTTGAGAAGTACCATGCTGCTTCTGCAGAGGAACAGGCCACCATTGAACGCAACCCCTATGTCATCTTCCACCAAGCACTGCAAAACTGTGAGCCCGTGATAGGGCTGGTACCCATCCTCAGAGGGGGCCATTTTTATCAGGTGAGCAGTCAGGGCTGGAAGCAGGGCTGCCCACCCATGAGACAAGATGGTGGGGGTGGGCTGGGGAATGCTTGGGAGTGGGAGGGCCCAGAGTTGGGTCAAGATTGAATTTTATAGGGACCAGGTTCTGTCATAGTCTGCTCATCTGAGTCCTAGTGTAGAACTCATAGGCAGAGGATGGAAAAGAGAGCAAAGAAGTATCCAGATTACCTTTTCTGGATGCCCCCCCCCCCACCCCAGTTCTGTCCACTGTGCTGTGTTGTAAATTGTCAGCTTCTTCTGAAGGACTATGTGTAGAACTTGTCTTTATACACCCACGTCTAGAGCTTGACCCATGACTCATGTTTTGTCACCATTTCTTAAATTGAATGAGGCTCTATCACAGCTTTTACTTCTGTGTCAGTGTTATAAGCGGGTGTTCTAATGCGCTTTTTTAATGTAGCGTGGAGACCCTCATTAACATCTGTGTCCCTAGGGTCTGGCATGGTACCTGGCATATAGTGGTCTAGCAAACACTTACTGACAAGAGGGTCTTGTTTTTAGGCACCCCTGATCTGAGTTGGCTAAGTCACCCCAGCTTGATGGGGCTTTTCCCAATTGATGTTCATATCAACCTAGGTGAGCTTCCATTTAGAGGTGAGCAAGGTCTTTGCTTAATGAGCGTCTGTTCAATGAATGCCTCTATGTCTGTTGCACTGAGATCTGCCAGGAGTGAGGGGGACTCACAAAGGAGAAGCCAAGCCCCTCTCCTCAGGAGCATTGTCAGTGCTAGCCCAGAGGGAACCTGTGGCTACTCCTTAGAGCTCAAGGAGGAGGGAGGCTGCAGCCCTGACAAATTGTTGGACTAACTTGCCCAGGTCTTGTCTTGTCCAGGTCCCTGTGCCACTTGCTGATCGGCGTCGTCGCTTCTTGGCCATGAAGTGGATGATTAAGGAGTGCAGGGAGAAGAAGCACCGGCGGATGCTGATGCCGGAGAAGTTGTCACACGAGCTGCTGGAGGCTTTTCACAACCAGGGCCCTGTGATCAAGAGGAAGCATGACATGCACAAGATGGCTGAGGCCAACCGTGCCCTGGCTCACTACCGCTGGTGGTAGAGGCGCTCCACTGCAAGAAATAATGGGAGCCACTATCCCAGTGAAAATCACCTGCTGGCTAAGTAGTTCCTTTTTAAGGGCAGGCCAGCCTAAGGGTGGAATAATGTATTTATGCCTGTTAGTCCTTTGTTTGGGGGGCTGGACGTGCCATTCCTGCTCTATCTCCTCACAAAGAGGAGACATCAATCTGGATTTCCCCCAGGAACTTAGGGCCTATCCAGCTTCTCTCTCTCTCAATTCAGGGTAGAACTTGGAATGATAGGAAAGGAAGCAGTTTTAATATTAGAAACGATTTATTAGAAAATTCTCGCCCTGAACTGGTGTAGCATGTGATATAGAAACTGCCATTTACTAAAATTGACTGGAAATACATTCGTTTCCAAAGTGGTCCTTGTACAAAATGTATAAAAAGCAGCTTCTGGGGTGACTTGTGCTCTGCCCCTCAATATCCCAAAATATCCCACCAGTAGCTCTGGGTACCCATTTTACAAATGGGGAAGCTGAGGCACCAAGCTGGCTCTTGCACTGGTGGTTACACAGTGCAGTGGGTGTTAGAAGCTGCCTTTCTCTGCATGGCCCAGGCTGGAGGTGATGGAGTAGAGGCTGATGGGACGGTGAGGGCAGGTCTGTGTGGTGTCTTCCCCAGTCCCTGAATCCAGGAGAGAAGGTGCTCAGGGCAGGACCACCATGTAAGTGGGGAACTTCTCAGGAGCCACTGAAGGTCTGCAAGGGACAGTCTTTGGGAGGCAGGGAGTTGGGTAGGTGAGAGGCCTGTGCTGCTGGTGAGGCAGCCTGAGCTGGAGGCCTAGTCGGAGACCTCACTGTAGTAATACTTGTGGGCAGCCGGGGTCGTCTTCCAGCCAGCTGCCCGAAATTCGATGATTTCAAGCAGCAGCAGCTGGGCCAGGGAGCTGAGGCCGCTGGGGAGCAGGAAGCCGTCCCGGATCAGGACAAAGAGCTCATCCATGCGCTGTCGGTTCATCTTCTCCAGCTGCTCCCCTACTCGGTGCAGCTGCAGCACCAGGCAGTCCACCTGCAGGGGGCGGGAGATGTGAACCCCAGGGTGGTGCTAGCCCATCACAGCTGCTGCGCGCAGGCCCCCTACGCCTTCCCCGGTCATGCTCACACCACCTGGTGGGTGTTAGCCACATCTTCCATTAATGGAGACAAGTTCAGGACTCCCGTGAGCTCTCCTGGGCTGGACTGGATGCGGGGCCTGTCTTTAAGCTGCCACTTAACCCAGGCTTTCTGCCCCTCCCCGGCCCTGCCAGACTGCCTTTCTGGGCCATCTGTATCCACAGCTGGATTCCGATCACAGGATGGCTTTCCTACTGGGAAGAAAGCGTCTGAGCCTGAAGGTTTGGCCTGCTCTCTGTTCTGGATAAATTCCAGGTCTGGCAGCTTGTCCTGGAACTGAGACAGGCCTTGAGTATCCCCACCAGGCTCCTGCCTTAGGAAGTTGGTGCTCTCGGATGCCTCCACAGATAGTGGGCTGGTATTCTGAGCCGAGCCAGGGCTTGCCCCTCCACAGCTGTCAACCCGGATCACCCACCTCCTCCTCCTTGCTCAGACTGTCGGGCTGGGCCAGCCGGAAGAGGCAGTCGTACACAGGGTTCACCAGGGCCATCATGGGCATGTTGTTCACCTGTAGGGGGAGAGCAGGGGGTGTGCAGAGCCCTGGCTTAGTGGCTGAAGGAGATAGGCTGTCTCTGCCGCACAGGGTGGCTACCAGGGCCTCACCCTCAGGTAGTCAAAGATGTTGCAGATAAAGGTGACATAGCAGACCCAGCCCTGCAGGGACCGGGCTCGCAGCTGCTCCCGAGCCTGGTACTCCTGCTGCAGCCGGTTGAGGAGTCCCCGTCGGAAGACACTCTGGCCTGCTTGCTTGCTCTCAGCCTGTGAGCCAGGGAAAGGAGGGTGAGCCGGAGGCGGTGCCATGGTGGGCCCCCCTCCCAGCTTCAGTGGCTGAGGACCCTCTTGTCTGACTCCACCTCTCAGGGAAGCCGTTTGCTCCTCTGCCCTGCCAGCAGCCAGACCTGCCCTCTGCTTCAGCCTTTCCCAAAGCGTCTCTGCGTTTCTGCAGTCCCAGCCCACCTGAATAATGGCATAGCACATGCGTCCTGCTTCTTTGCTGAACACACAGTCCTGCAGAGAATGGTCCACGATCACGTTGGCCACCTTTTCCAAGTCCACAGCACCTGGCTCTAGGGCAGAGATAGGTGGGAAGTCTAGAGTTGCTGAATTACTACATTTGTCTCCACGTGCTTCTATTTGAGATGTTTTCAAAGGAGACACCCCCCATGATATGCTTACATTTAAAGAGACCAGAAAATACCAGGAGAAGTAACCACACAGGAGCAGCTGGTGGCTGGGTTATGCCGCTGTTGGGAGACTAATCACAGAACTCTAGTTTTCTTAGGGCACACATTCCCTGGCACTAAGGTTGTGGAAGGAGCACAGAATAACGATGTGTTTGACAGCAATTTCACAGAAGAAAGTGTTCTTACAACACACACATGAACCCCTGACAAGAGCGGGCCAGGCAGGGCCTCCCCAGCAGGCTTAGCTTGGCATGTGATGGGCATTACTAATTGTTAGCTGAGTCAAACTTCTGTTCTGAGTGCTGCAGAAGGCACTGGTCCAGGACAATTACTGCCTCTCCTCTGCCAAGCAGAGTGCTCCATCCTCTGTCCGGAGTCAGCCAGCTCTGCAAATTCAAGGCCACCTGCTGTGGCAACTCGGAAGCCAGGTCCAATGTAAGCGCTTAGGAGACAAGAACTCTGTTCTCTGTGCTCCATCCCCCTTTCATGGGTCCTTAAACCTTAAAAAAATGGCTTTGCTGCCCTAGAGGCGACTCTATGATTCATTCTTTCAATTACTGGCCTCAGTGTAGCTTGTCCTCCCGTCCAAGAGTGACGTTGCTGACTCCTGTTCTCAGAAAGCAAAGGGTTGGATGTTCCCAGGCTCAGGCCTCCAGGCCCATCCCGCTGGCCCCATCCCTACAGCTCAGGAGGGCTCCCATGCTCACCTTTGAGTGCTGTCTTCAGCAGCTGCTGAGTCTCTGCATCAAAAGACTGGATTTTATACTCCTCTCTACCAGGCTCCCCCATGACCATCCAGCCCCCACAGCTCTTTACAGAGGTGGGACTAATGACAGCACCTGGGAAGGAGGAGAGGGGAAGGGAGAGGCCTCAGGTGTGCAGCGCAGGGCCTGGTTTCTACCTTGCAGGCCCCGGCCAGGGCTAGCCAGGGCTGGCCAGCGCTCGGGACAGGTGCTCCCGGCCAGTCCATTGCCTTGGGTGGTTGGCTGAGGGCCCAGGAAGCTTGGCTTCTGGTGGAGACTGGGCACCAGCCAGGCACCTGCTGCTCAGTTTAGAACTCCTGTAGCTTCTGGGATTACACAAGAGGTGAAGGTGGACGTGCCTACCCTCCAGTCTCCATAGGAGGTAGAGTTATTCTTGATACCCAGGCTGGGGGGAGGTGCACTGCGCTGGGGATGTTGGTAGGGGGCATATCAGACGGCTCCCTGCCTTTCCGGAAGCCCGCCTGGAAGCTGCTCGCCCAGCGCGACTTCCAGAGAGTGACAGGGCGGAGGGCTCCGGACAAGTCCATCCCAGCAGGGTTCCACTCGCCCCGCCCCGACTCATCCCTGGGCTGTGGTCAGAATCCTGAGTCCCAAACCCGGCCGTGCAGCCCTCGGCCTGGCCTGTGTGGGCGGGTGCGGGGCCGACCCGCTCCGGTCCGGGCCAACTTCTCCCCGGGACAGACGGGTCAAACTGGCCTCCCGAGCGGCACAAGCGCGACCCTGCCCACTCGGGACTCCACACTCAGGAGATCCATCCTGGAGCCTTCCTCCTAAAGACGAGGGGAGCCGGGAGACGCGTCTCCCGGAGGCAGTCCCCGTTGGAGTCCCCTCTCCGGACGCGGTGCCTCCCCCCGAGTCCAAGGACGACCTCGGGCATCTCCAAAGCCGGGCGGCTTCCCCAAGCCCGGAACCCCCTTCCGGGTGGCGCGGCGCAGCCGTCCGGGGTCCCGCGGGCGGGCGAGGCCGTGCGAGCGCCGGGACCCACCTGCCGGGCCGGCGCCGCGCCCGCGGGCCCAGAGGCCGCTCGGCGGGCATGGTGCGCGCCCCCGGTCCGCCGCGTTGCAGGGCTGGGGCGGCCGGTCGGGCCTCGCCGCCGCTTAGGTCATTTCCGAGCGCGGCGCGGGGGCGGGGCCGGCGCGGAGGGCGGGGCCGTCCCGCCAGCGCCCCCTGGCGGAGTCCCGGCGACGCTGTCCTCCCCGCGCGTGCTCCCGAGGTCCCGGGGGCGCCGGGAAGGCCGCGACGCCGCCCCTGGCCCGTCCTCACTCGAGTCGTCCGCGCCGCGACGGACCCGCTCCTCCGCCCAGAGGAAGCCCTCGGTCGCCGGCGGCAGGGGCCCCCTCCCACGCCCGGAGCTCAGGTTAGAACAGGTTGGAAAGAGGAGACTGGGAGGGGCGGCGGGAGGACAAGGAGGGCTGGCCCGTCACCTTCCGCGCGACAGAAGGCTGGCGGACCCCTAAGGGCTGGATCGTCCCCCCACCCTCTCCTCCAAGTACAAACGGTACTGCTCAGGTTGAAAATCAACGGACCAGGCCCGCCCGGGTGGCTCGGCGGTTGGGCGCCTGCCTTCGGCCCAGGGTATGATCTTAGGGTCCTGAGATCGGGTCCCGCATTGTGCTCCCTGCATGGCACCTGCTTCTCTCTCTGCCTCTTTCATGAGTAAATAAAAATTAAATCTAAAAAAAAACAAAAAACAAAACAAACCCATAACGGACCGGCCCCCAAGTAGGACCCCACACCGCCAGCCTGCCAGCCGCGAGGTGCTGGGAGTGACCGTGAAGTTGGACAGGCCCTGGCTCGGTTGCACCTGGGGCTGGGGAAGAGGCGCGGGCCCAGCAGCTGAGGGCCATCCCTGAGGTCAGCCCTGGGTGAGGAGGGCAACCAGAAGGGGCTGGAGGAGCAGTGCCTCTTCTCATCACCAGACCTGTCCCCGGCGGTTAAAAGGGCTGCTTGAGGCGGACACGAGCACATGCAGAGAATAAAGTTTACTTCATTCCACCAAAGTGGAATTTCTTAATACATTCTGGTAGCTGCTTTCCTGCAGCCCCAAACCCTGTGGGTGTTGGAGCACCCCCTACCCACAGCCTGGACCTTCATAATCAGCAGCCAGGAGCAGGGAAGCTTCAGGATTCAGGGTCTCAGACAGGTCGTAAAGCCCCAGGCCAGAGGCTATGACATCACGCAGGCCTGCTCCCACACGGAGGGGAGGGTGAAGTCCTGCAGGGGGCTCTGGTGCTCCTCCATCCTGGCTCCCCTCCCTTGTAGAGCAAGCCAGCAGGCAAGGCTTCCCCAGGGGGTGCGAAGTGGGTGGAAAGGTGGTGGTTGTGTTCTGTACATCTGTCTCCCCCACCGCCTCACTGCAGTTTCTCCTCTGTGCCCAGATGAGTAGCTGTCGTGAGTTCCCGTGCTGACAACCCCCACTCCGGGCACCAACCACCCTCAGCAGGCTGGTTGCCCAGGCCTTTCCTTCTACCACCGCCTTCACAAGGCTGCTTCAGAGCTGGGGCCCCTCTGGGGTGACAGAGGACACACATAGCACCATGCTGAGCCCAGGAGGGGGGACCCTGGGTGGGCAGCTGATGCCAGCTGACTCAGCTATAAGGCTCCCACCCCTACCCTGGGGAGAGGAATGAAAAAGACCACCCCCTTTACCCACAGGTCCTGCCCATGAGCACAGCCCACTTCCTGCTGGCCGCCAGAATGTTTTCCCCAGAGGCCCTCAGCTATGCTCCATCCACCCAGGGGAGGGAGAACAGCCTGAGCCAGACTTCATAGACAGGATGATCTGGGCATCAAGTGACCAGTTCTTCCTCCCAGAGCCAGAAGCAAAGCTGTGTGAGTGATACAAGTGCTTAGAAAAATGGAATCTGAGGAAGGCAAGGGTTCCTTCCTGCATACTTTGTGAGGAGGGATGTGGTGCAGAATGGAAGATGGAGTGAGATAAGGAAGGTGCTTGTAGCTTCGGGTGTGTTAAATTAGCTGGTGGGGCCATGAGTGCACGTGAGGACTGGGGCCCCACCAAGGGCCCAACCCCAACCCTCAGGCTCCAGCTGAAGTCCCCAGAGCCTGGACAGATGTCTGGGCAGAGGGGCTAAGAAGTGCAGGGTGGCAGCTGCTGCCTCTCCTTCAAGCACAAGCCTCACAGAGAAACCAGCTCCAGCGCCCTCTGACTGGCGTGGCTGCGACCCCACAGATCGAGTCCCGCATTCTCCCCGAGAAAGCCCTTGCCTTTCTAGTGAGGGCAGAGCAGACGCCAGGGGAGGGGAGCGGGTGCGGGCAGCAGCTCTAAGTCTGCCTTCCTTCTGGAGGCAGCCCTGCCTGCCCCGGGGCTAGCTGTCTGCCTTCTTCATGTGGTGGAAGAGGTTACAGAAGAGCTCATACCAGAAGAACACGAAGCCGGTGGAGAGAGCGGCCTTCAGCAGGCTGGGGGACAGGCCCTTGAAGAAGCCCCTGGGGCCTTCCTCCCTCAGCACCTGCCGGGCACAGTCCAGGAGGCCCTTATAGGTGCGGACCTGCCGGGGAAGAGGACAGAGGAGGTGATTAGTGCGCGCGTGTGCGCGCACACACACACACACACACACGCTGGCTCTTTGGTCAGCCCCACACCTGGCACGTCACAGCTCCTGATGAACACCTGCCGGACAAAGCCATGAATGCGGAAAGGCCAGAGGAGTTAACCTTTCCTTTCTCTTCCAGGTGGCCTGGTAATTCAGACTTAACAGGTGCGGTGCCTGGAAATCAGCACTGGACAGAGCTTCTACTGACTGGGCCTCCTGAGGACCTTTTTCTGGGGCGCCTGGGGTGCTCGGTGAAGCGTCTGTCTTTGGCTCAGGTCATGACCCCAGAGTCCTGAGTTTGAGCCCCACATCGGGCTCCCTGCTCAGCAGGGTGTCTGCTTCTCCCCTGCCCTTCCCCCTGCTCCTCCTCTCTCAAATAATTTTTTTTAAAGATTTTATTTATTTATTCATGAGAGACACAGAGAGACGCAGAGACACAGGCAGAGAGAGAAATAGGCTCCCTGCAGGGAGCCCAGTTTGGGACTCGATCCCAGGACCCCGAGATCATGACCTGTGAAGAAGGCAGATGCTCAACCACTGAGCCACCCAGGTGCCCTGAAATAAAAAATCTTTTAAAAAAGGACTCTTTCCCCTATCCCACCTGGTCCCCCCTTGGGCAGTAAATCTGGATCGGACTCCTGTTTGCTTTGGGCCCCAGTCTGTCTTTCTCAGTTAGCCACATGCTGCTGCCAGGCTCACGTCCCCAAATCTCAACTCCCCTCAAGCCTTGCTACCTTCAAATCTCCACTAACCCCCATGATGACAATGACATTATAACAAATCAAGTGGCACCTGGCTGGCTCAGTCCCAGAGTGTGGGACTCTTGATCTCAGGGTTATGAGTTCAAATCCCATGCTGGATGTAGACTTTAAAATAAAATAAAATCCAAGCTCCGTAGCCTGGTGTTCAAGGCATTGCTCCATTTGGCCTCAACTTCCCTCCCTAATCTGCCCTCATTCCCCACCAGTCCTCCCACCAAACCCGCCATGCAGTCTGCTAGGAGCAAGGCCTCTCTCCTCTGTCCTGGCCTCTCACTGAATCTCCCTATGCAAATTTGAACCATTCCTGCAGGACAAGTTCATAAATGGAAAAAGGAGGGCATACAACCTTGTATACACCCTGTATTTGATACAATGTACCCGTGTATGTTTATGCAAAGAAACAAAACTACAGCCAAAGGTTCTGTGTGATTATCTCTGGGTGGGTGGTGCAGGGGGGCTACTTGTGAGTCTTAGTTTTTATCTGCGGGACTTCTCTGAACTTCCTACAAAGATGTATTACAAGGAACTCAATTCCTCTCTTACCCCAAATAAGGGGTGCTCCCTCCCTCCACTGTCTCCCATTCCATGCCACTCCTCTCCTGTCATGTGTCAGGCCTGCAGCTTCCAGACTTCCCAGGTTCTAGAAGGAAAGCCCTGCAGTTACTCACCCTTGCTACACCCCAGCCCACCACTGGATGGCGCCCCAAAGGAGCCGGTGAAAATCCAGTTTGCAAAATCCAAACTGACTAAAGAATGACTATTAGTAACATCACAAAACCACCTAAACTGGGGCTTCCGTAAGTGACAAACCCTTTTAGTGCCTTTATAATGTAATTTAGTCAGATTTAATCTACCCCTCTCCAGAAACCCCTACAAAATAAAGCAAAAAAACCCATGCATCAGTGGGAGTCTCCTCTGTGTTCTGTAGTTATTTTGGACCTTTCTTTTTCTTTTCTTTAGGTTTTATTTATTTGAAAAAGAGCACGAGAGCCTTGCGCAGTGGCATTATCGTAGCCAATGAGGTTTATCCGAGGCGCGATTACTGCTAATTGAAAAAGAGCACGAGAGCAGGGGAGAAACAGAGGGAGGGGACAAGCAAGCAGACTCTCCACGCCAAGCATGAAGCCTAACATGGGGCTCGACCCATGACCCCGATATCATGACTCAACCCAAAACCAGGCATCACTCAACCAACTGAGCCACCCAGGAGCCCCAGGGACCTTTCTTATGTGAAGATATTCTTTGTCCCAAACTGAACACTTTTTTTTTTTTTAATTGAAGTAGGCTCCATGCCCAGGGTGGAGCCCAACACAGAGCCCAACACAGGGCTTGAACTCAACCCTGAGATCAAGACCTGAGCTGAGATCGAGTTGAATGCTTAACCGACTGACCACCCAGGTGCCCTGAACTGAACACTTTTTAAGAGCAAACACTGAACCCTCCTTCACCTGGATCATCCCACAGTGCCCAAACTGCACAGGGCTTTGTGTGTGGTGTTCCCATGTGTCTGGGGACCCCCAGGGACGGGCTGTGGGGGATAATGCTGCCCAGTAGGCAGGTGAGAGGCAGGGCTCAGAGCTCTCTGCAGGGGGATGGCTCACCTGGCCGAAGGTGGCTCGGGCCCGCTCAAACCCTCCAACCTGCAGCCGTTTCTTAAAGAGGTCCAGGGGGTACGTGAGGGTCTTGCTGATGACTCCAGCTCCACTGCCACAGAGCAGGTTTTTGAGGTTCTCTGAACCAAAGTGGGATTGAGAGGGAAAATGAGAAAAGGGCAATCGGGGAAGATATGTTCAAAGTCAAGAGCTCTAAGCCTCCACCATAAAACTAAGACCCACTGGTATCCTGAATCTCTGAGGGGAGCCACACAGAGCACTCTGGGCATGGATGACAAATGGGAGTGGAAGTAGGGGCTTGCAGGCTCCGTGGTGTGACTTGGTGCAAGGCCTGGGAGGGACCAGGAGGCCCAGCCGCCCCCTCAGTCCCCCAAAACACACAACCCAAACCAGGCAGTCTGTAAGTGGGCCCTCTAACAAAAATGAAAACCCTGACCGTAGTCAGGAATAAACGTTGATGGTGCCACTGCTGGGTGGCAAGAGCCGAAAGTGTCTGCAGGCGGCTGGCTTGATTTGTTTGGTTGGCTGTACTACAGAGCAGGGTTTGGAGAACAGGGCCCTAGCCTCTGACAGGAAGACCTCAGGCCCTAGCCTCTGACAAGAAGACCTCAGCCCCTACATGGTTCAGAAAGAGATGCTATGGCGTCGGGGTGGGGGCAGGGGAGACCCAGATTCTCCTCGTTTGAGGGCTGTCTCACCACTGTTTGCTCCCTCGGTGGGAATGACCCATTCATGCACGTGCTTCAAGGCGCTGTAGAAGGAGAACTGGAATCCGGCGTAAGGGAAGATGGCGATCAAGGTGGGGTTCAAGCCTTTGTAGAAAACCAAGGGGCCTTCGGTCCTATACATGGTCACCACGGCTTCTCGAAGGGTTTTATACACCTGGATGGCAGGCATGCAGCTCGAGTGAGTGCATGGTGGTGGTTTGGCTCTAGGACACAACCCATCATATGCACCTCCCCTCGGCTAAAATCCCAGCTACCAGGAGCATTACTTCTCCTACCCAGGGGACAAAGAAAATGCTGGACAAAACCCCCAAGGGTGGGGTTTTCCAGCAACTCCCTTTCCAGCTATTGACAAGACTAAGATGTCCACACAAGTGCACATCAGTTTATGCCCAAGGACAGCTGCCACAGTGCCCCTCAGAACAGCAAAGACGCAATGTCCGCCCTTGGGTGACTGGTGACACCCCATCATGATGGCACACCCATTCACAAGAACACGGTGCAGCTGCTGAAACAGGATCACGCCACTTACACGACTGAAAGAGAATAATCCCCCAAGTATATAGTGATGAGCACAGTGAGAGGCTGAGCAGTGGGTTTAGTGTTTGTGGAGGAGGAAACTAAGCAGGGATCACCCCCCCACCCCCACCCAAGGATACTCGAGAAATGAGGAAGGGTGAGCATTACCTCCACGGAAGGGAAGGCCAGGCAGGGGAAGCGAGATATTTACTCATTATTTTAGGCTATTTAGGGTTTTTGCCATGTGCATATATTTAACCTTTTGTAAGCTGTCAACAGGTGATCTCCAGGGGGGAAGACCACAGGGCATTGATTTTTCTGAGTACTCTTCTATTCTCTGCAGGGGACCAGAGCAGCTGTGGACGCAGGGAGGCACCTCACCAACAGGGCAGCTGATGGAGCTACTTGGGGTGTTAATGGAGGGGCACTGGCTCTCTCCTCTCCTCTCAGCTCCCAGGCGCAGGCAGCCACACCGAAGGATTTCACCCTGGTGACCTCCATGAGAGCGCCCAGACTCAGAGGAAGACCATCGAGCAATGAGCCTGCCACAGGACCACGTCCCACTGCACTTCTCCAGGTCCCCTGCCACACCAGGCTGGCAGCCCAGGGCCACTAGACAGCTGAGGACAGCCCTGCTAAGAACAGAGCCCAGGGGCACCCACTGGCTCAGTGGTGTGTATGACTCTTGTTGATCTCAGGATCACCAGTCTGAGCCCCACGGTGGGGGCAGAGATTTACTTAAAAAACAAACAGAAAGGGATCCCTGGGTGGCGCAGCGGTTTGGCGCCTGCCTTTGGCCCAGGGCGCGATCCTGGAGACCCGGGATCGAATCCCACATCGGGCTCCCGGTGCATGGAGCCTGCTTCTCCCTCTGCCTGTGTCTCTGCCTCTCTCTCTCTCTCTCTCTGTGTGACTATCATAAATAAATAAAAAAAAATTAAAAAAAAAAAAACAGAAACCACAAAACCCCCCGGAGACCAAAAATGATCCATGACGGGCAGAAAGGCAGAGGAATCATCTGGAGGGAAGAGACAGTATAGACAGAAGAAGAAAACTAAAGGAAACTGAGACCAACCACAAAATTAGAACCAATATTCGCTGAGGCCACAGAGAAGGCAACACCTCCGTGATAAAAGGTGGGGGCGTCTATCGAGCCCCACATCGGGCTCCCATTTCCCTCTGCTGCTCCCCCCGCTGGTGCTGTCAAATAGATAAATAAAATCTTAAAAAAAATTAAAGGGATCCCTGGGTGGCTCAGTGGTTTGGCGCCTGCCTTTGGCCCAGGGCGCGATCCTGGAGTCCCAGGATTGAGTCCCGCGTCGGGCTCCTGGCATGGAGCCTGCTTCTCTCTCCTCCTGTGTCTCTGCCTCTCTCTTTCTCTCTCTATATCTATCATGAATAAATAAATCTTAAAAAACAATTTTTTTTAAGATTCTATTTATTTATTCACGAGACACACACACACAGAGTGAGAGAGAGAGGGGGGGGGGGGGCAGAGACACAGGCAGAGGGAGAAGCAGGCTCCATGCAGGGAGCCTGATGTGGGACTTGACCCTGGGACTCTGGGATCACACCCTGAGCCAAAGGCAGACGCTCAACCACTGAGCCACCCAGGTGTCCCAAACACCTCTATTTTCAAAAAAAGATAATAAGGTCTTTTTGTTTGTTTGTTTGTTTGTTTTTTAACAACTCTGTGGTAAAACCACAATGAGATACCACTATTCACACCTAGTAGAGTGGCTAAAATTTCAAATAAAATAAACAGGAGGGCCTGGGTTGGTTAGGTGCTGACCCTTGGTTTCAGCTCAGGTCAAGACTTAAGGGTCGTGAGACTGAGCCCCACACTCAGCAGGGAGTCTGCATGAGATTCTTTCCTTCTGCCCATCCCCCTGCTCAGGCACACTCATTTGTTCTCTCTCTCAAGTAAATAAATAAGAACAAAATAAAAATAAAAAACAGATAATACTAAGTATTGGTGAGGATAGGTGCCAATGGAACTGTTGGTGGGTTTGCAAAATGGCATAGCCAAGTAGCAACTGGGCTGGCTTTTCCTCATAAAACTAAACTTTTTCACCATACAACTCAACAACCCCACCCCTAGGTATTCACCCAAGAGAAACAAAATGTTCACACAATCATTTGTAGGTGAATGTTCACAGTGATTTTATTCATAACCACCAAAAAAACTGAACCACCCTGATCTCTTCCAACAATAAACCATGGTGGGGGCTACAGGATAGAATCCTATGCAGCAAGGAAAAAGAACCAGCCACTCACATAGCAACATGGATGAATCTCAACTAGAGACACCAAGTGAAGGGCACCTACTCAAACACCTATGCAAGACGTGATTACCTCTATGTGACATTCGGAAAAACACACAACTTTAGACAGAAAACAGGCCAGGGGTTAACTGAGGCTGTCAATAAAGAGGAACTAACTATAGAGAGGCAAGACATTTTGGAGGTGATAGAATTTTTGCTTTATGTCTTGATTATAGTAGTGGTTATGGGACTGTATGCATTCATCAAAAGTCAGAGGAGCACCTGGGTGGCTGAAGTGTCTGATTTAGTGGTGAAGTGTCTGATTTGGGCTTAGGTCATGATCTCAGGGCCCTGAGACTGAGCCCTATGTTGGGCTCCAAGCTCAGCAAGGTCTGCTCATACTCTCTCCTTCAAATACATAAAATCTTACAAAAAAAAAAAAAAAGAGAGAGAGAGAGAGAAAGCTGTACACTAAAAAGAGTGAATTTTACCATGTAAGTAATGCTTCAACAAACGAAAGCAAACCAAAAAAGTGCTCTTAGAAACTAACATACTAATGTTACAAGCATTTTTTAAATTCAATAGAGGGGAATCCCTGGGTGGCGCAGCGGTTTGGCGCCTGCCTTTGGCCCAGGGCGCGATCCTGGAGACCCGGGATCGAATCCCACATCAGGCTCCCGGTGCATGGAGCCTGCTTCTCCCTCTGCCTATGTCTCTGCCTCTCTCTATCTCTCTCTCTGTGACTATCATAAATAAATAAAAATTTAAAAATAAATAAATAAATAAATTCAATAGAGGGCCCCAAATGATAAAGGCAAGGAAACCTCCCAGAAAGTAGGACAGAGAGGCAGCTGAACAATAGTAGAGCAAAGAGAAGTCAATCAGAGGATCAACCCAGGATGTCCAACTGACATGAATTCCACAAAGAAAAAGGAAAAAAAAAAAAAAAACCAACCAGAAAGTAGCAATTGTGAATAAATCATTCTTGACCGTTTTCTAGGCATGAGAACAGGAATGTCTAGATCTAAGAGTCCAGGAAGTGCCCATCACAATGAATGAAAGAGACATGGACCAGTGCATATTACTGGTAAGTTTCTAGAATGCCAGAAATCAAGAAGGGATCCTGGAAGTTCCCAAGGCAGGAAGGACGATAGTTTCATATAAAGGATCATTAATTGGAGTGGTTCTGGACTTCTCTACGGCAACACTGAGAGCTACCTAGAATTCTACACCCAAGTTGTAAGTCAAGTGTAAGTAGGATCAAATAAAGGCATTTTCTATCAAGCCTTCCCTAAAGAAGCTCTATCTCCAGTATATCTTTACCAAAATGAGGGATTAGTCAAGAAAGAGAAGACATGGGACCCAACAAGAAAATTCCTAACAGAACAGCTGATAATAGTCCTGGAGCAAAGAGTCCATACTGAAGCCAGAGGGTGAAGGCTTTCAGAGTGGGGAGCTCCAGGAGGGTCTCCATAATAATGGGTGACTAATGACCACAGGCTGACCCTATTAAGACTGTTTGAGGGTACTTTGTGATAAGCATGCAGGAAGCTAAACAAAATACAAGGCAATCACTAACTTCAGGCAAGACAAAGATACACAAGAAAATGTAATTATAATGTATTTCAATGCTTAGCAGTAACATTTACATAATCATAACAGCACACTCAGTACTGATTTAGCCAAAATCTATAAATCAGTTATACTGAAATCAGAGAAAGCACAAGCATGCAAGGGTGATGGTAAAAGAGGTAAAAGCTCATCTTCCACAGTAGCCATCTATAGCTAATGTCTATAATTTAAAAACTAGAAAGAAAAAGAGAGAGAACTAGTAGTATAAACATGTTACTAAGAATCAGTTAGTACATAATGGAAGAGCCACAAGTGGTTACCTCTGGGGACTGGAATCAGGTGGCTGTTTCTTTGTTGTAATTCATGCAGAACCACCAGTCTTTTTAACCTTTATACATCTTACAGATCACTGATGAAGAAACATTTTAAAGACTTCATTTATTTAGAAAGAGTGAGAGCAAACATGAGCAGGGGAGGGACAAAGGGAAAAGGAGAGAATCTCAAGCAGACTCCATGCTGAGCAAGGAACCCTAAGGCAAGACTTGATGTCATGACCCTGACATCATGACTTGAGCCTAAACCAAGAATCAGATGCTCAACCAACTGAGCCACCGAGATACCCGATTAAGAAACATTTAAAAGGTGAGGATTTAGGGCAGCCCAGGTGGCTCAGCGATTTAACGCTGCCTTCAGCCCAGGGCATGATCCTGGAGACCCGGGATGGAGTCCCACATCGGGCTCCCTGCATGGAGCCTGCTTCTTTCTCTGCCTGTGTCTCTGCCTCTCTGTGTGTGTCTCTCATGAGGAAATAAATAAAATCTTAAAAAAAAAAAAAAAAGGTGAGGATTTACAGCACGGCTATTACTGATCTATGTAAGGAAGAGGGTCTACAGCTTTTAAACTACTCACTTTGGCACACAATACAATTTCCTGATCATTCCAGAATCTAGAATCTCTATCTCAATCTAAGCCAGATGATTCTCTTATTCTCTTTTCTTTTTTTTTTCCTTCTTTATTCTCTTTTCTCTTAAACATTTTTCTTCCCACAGACCTCTTTTTCAAGTTTATTATTGAAGTATAATTGATATACAATGCTCTATTAGGTGTACTTATGGATACACAAGGTGTACTTAGGATATACAAGGCTCTATTATTTAGGTGTACTTTCTCATAGATTTTTATTTTTTTTTTTACTAAAGATTGGGAAGTCATGGAAAAGGACACCAGCATCCCAGAATGGAAAAGCCAATGAAGCACCACCACTCATCTTTTTTTTTCATCCCAGCAGCCACCATGTTGCTGAGGGCTATGTCTTCTCCAACTGCAAACACTCTTTCCCTCTCCCCATCTCTCTGTTCAGTGCTTAGGGCCCTCATCTCATTTCTCCACCAGAAGAAAGCTGTATTTCCCACTGAAGTGCCATACAGAAGGATGTAGCTCTCATGTCCCATTCCTTTGCTTGTAGACTGGTTCCAGGGCACTTTGCCCTTCTAAACCAAGAAAGTCATCAACAAAAGGGCTCCACCAACCCAGGATCTCCACCCCAGGCAACTGAACTGAACTGAAACCATAGTTACTCTAAAGCACATCAAATGCTTCCCAAAAAAAATACCCTAAAGCACAAAGGAAACAGAAAATTATTCTTTATTGGGTGAGCACACACATGCGTGCACACATATACACAATGCTATTCTTATATATGTCCAGGAAACAGAGATTATGGTGGGGAGGTCTATTTCAGGATTTAATCCCTCCCTTTCATTCAGTAAATTCTTCCTGGAATCTGACTCAATTATCCCATTTCCTCTATCCATTCTTTGTGGAAAACAAAAACACTCTGCTTATAACTCAAATATGATCTCAAGTTTCATTCTCCCAGACGCCTCTACCATCCAGTCTGCTGTTCATTATTTGTTCTGTTTCACACCTGTAGGTTCTGGCTCCCTCATGAGGCTGTGAGCACCTTGCATGGTGCTCAGCACATTTATAGGTTTTACAGATGGACCAGCAGAGGGGAGGCAAAGCCCCCAGGCTCTCCCACTTTGTTCCCTCTAAAGAAAAGAGTCCTAGATCCTGGAACACCTTCTGTTATTCGGGCACCCCCTCTCTGGCCCAGCTACTCACCTTAGGCTCACCCTGAGCTGCAAAGCGAGTACGCAGCACGTCCACAGGATGCACAGCGAGGGTGGCTGCGCTGGCAGACAGGCCGCCACACACGAAGTGCACTGAGAAGTCACGGGCATCGTACTTGGTGGCTCTGTGCACCAGCTCGGTCAGGAGTTCAAATGACAGAAACTGCAAGAGCACATGAGAGAGTAATTGAGAAATACTCCCCCAAAACACCACAGCCCAGGTGGAGCTCAGTTCTACGGTAAGGAAATACTCTCCTTGAGCAATGACAAAACACAATAAACATATAATTTTTTGCAAAGTACAGATGCGATTTTATATTCTATTTGAGTAGAGCCAAATATCGAAAGGGTTAGGAAAATAGATGGGAAAAATTTTATATCACTTTTTTTTTTTTAAGATTTTACTCATTTATTCATGACAGACACAGAGAGAGTGAGGCAGAGACACAGGCAGAGGGAGAAGCAGGCTCCCTACTAGGAGCCTAATTCCGGACTTGATCCCAGAACCCTGGGATCACAATCTGAGCCAAAGGCAGACGTCAACCACCCAGCCAACCAGACATCCCAAAAGTTTTTGGGTTTAAGATTTTATTTGAGGGAGAACAAGAGCGTGGGTGAGGGAGTGGGGAGAGAGAATCTGAAGCAGACTCTGCACAGAACACAGAGCCCAATGTGGGGCTCGATCCCATAGCTGGGAGATCATGACCTGAGTCGAAACCAAGAGTTGGATGCTTCACCGACTGAGCCACCCAGGCACCTCTGTGCCAGAAATTTCAGAAAGTTCTACACGGAGGTGCCTGGGTGGCTCAATCGGTGAAGTGTCTGCCTTCAGCTGAGGTCATGATTTCAGGGTCCTGGGACTGTGTCCCACATTGGGCTCCCTACTCGGTTGTAAGTCTGCTTCCCCCTCTCCCCCTCTCACTCTCTCTTTCTCAAATAAAGTCTTAAAAAAAAAAAAAAAAAGTTCTACTCAACGAGTTTCCTCAGAACCGGGAAAGGAAATCCATTGCTGGATTCTCTGTGGGTACCCTTTCAGTGCAACTAGCAGTGGCTTGACACTCTGCCCTGGAGCAGAAATTCTCTCAGAAGTCTACTTATTCCATATTCTATGGTATAAGCCCCCTTATGCTGAGACCTTCCTCAGGCAGCTCAAGATGGCTCAGGCTCCTGAGAGCACGCTACTGTGTGTATCCATCACGCTGCAGCATCTGAGTGCTAGCCACGGAGGCAGAATGGCAGGGGAGTGTCAACCCATGAGTACCTGACCTCAGCCATCACTGTGATGCCACAAGAAAGGCAGACAGGGGCTACTCTGGCTGTCCAGGTGGGAATCCTGATTCGGCCAACTTTCTCGCTGGTGACTTTGTCTGGCTTCGTTACTTAAGCTCTCTCTGCCTCGTCTTCTGTTGGTAACACAGGTGCGACCTCAAAGGCCTGCTGTGAAGCACGGAAATGAGCACAGCACAGGCTGAGTCCTACTAGCCACTAAGAGTGTACGGCTACACACCACCCACCATGAAATCAACTGGTGCTGGGCCGCCTGGGTGGCTCAATCAGCTGGACATCTGACTCTTAGTCTCGGCTCAGGTCACAATCTCGGGGATGTGGCACTGAACCCCCAGTTGGGCTCCATGCTCAGCGGGGAGTCTGCTTGTCCCTCTCTCTCTGCTCTTGCCCCTGCTTGGGTGCACAAGCTCTCTCTCAAATAAATAATAAATAAATAAAATGTTAAACAAAACAAAACAAAACCAGCTGGTAGTGAGCAGCACGAACGTGTGAACAGAAGATAAGAGGCCTGCATTCCCACTCAACCCGGCCTCTCCACACCCAGGCTGTGTGGCTTTGACAGCTCTCTGCTCTTCTGTGATCCACAAAACACGACGTCTACCTTCCTCACAATGCTGCTGGGAAGTTCAAAGGAAGTAGAGGTGTGAAAATGCTATTTTGAATAATGAAAGGACTGGTATCACCACTTGCCAAAACTCACTGGGGGCACAGCATCAGAACAGCCTCCTAGGGGCAACACCTGATATCCAGCTGGTGCTAAGTCCCCTTGGTGGGTGGAGGACGGGGGGAACATATGGAAGGGAATGCCCATGGCACAGCTTGATCTGACTCTATCTTCAATTTCAGACTTCAAACTCCAGGTAGTTTCCTGGTTAGGACAAATAGAAGGTGTGGTGACTGCCTCCTGCTATCCTACCCAGGCAGGGTCCCTGTGGGCCCCACCTTCCCTGTGTTCCTCTGTTGAGCAACATGAACCCAGGGGGGCCTGACCGCCGACTCATTCTCCCCCGCCACCTACCTGGACAGCTCCGTAGCCTATAGAGAGAAGCTGGGCTGGGACATGTCCTTTCCAGAATGCTGTGGGGCCTTCCTCCTGCAAGATCTGTCTCCCGGCCTGTAGGATCCCATGGTATTTTGCACCAGGGTCACTGCGAGACAGGCGTTCAATCTGAAGCTGGAAGCAAAATTGAAAAGGTCAGGACAACAGGGGCAAGGGTAGTGTGAGAAGGAGCGATTTCAAAAATGGAACAAAGGCAGTGAAGTGCTTCTCCCTGGCCAAATTCCAAGCTCTAGAAACTGCTTTGACAAGAAAGAGAGAACTTGTCATCCAGACCATTACATGGAAAAAAAAGGGAAAGGATACCTGGAAACGTATCTTGATGACATCCAAGGGGCTGATCATCACCCGAGTGACAAGTCCAGACACAGAGCCAGCCACAGCCACCTCAAAACTGGAAATATTCCTGCCATCAGCTTTGGGGTCATAGCCGACCATCCCTGCCTCCGGCCCATACAACGTCCATCAGTTTCAAGCTAAAAGCAAAGAAGAGACATGGAGTAAACACCAGAGCAAGTTCGTAGGGTCTCTCTGCTCACAAGCCACCTCCTCAGAGCAGCCCTCCCGGACTGTCCTCTAAAACAGCACCCACATCCCCTCTAATCCCCTTGCCCTGCTTTATTCTTTTATATAGCATTGACATACTGGACATTTATTCTGCATATCTATCTGTCTCTTGCCACTTTCCCCACTAGGATGCGGACCTGTGAAAACATGGCCTTGCTCTCATCTGCCCATCCCCGAATTTCCAGTGCTGAGAACAGAGCCCAGCATGGTGAGTGCTAAGATTCACTGACTGAACAAAGCAACAGGCTTGGCAGGAAATCGTTCAGTTCCAGAGATCAGTTTGCTTTCCAAGACACCTGGCTTTATGTCAAACTCCTGCCTGAGGTGAAGTCCCAGGCTGGGCCAGTGTGGGAGCAGAGCCCACGACAGCGGAGCACGGAGGGAGATGTCAGGCATTCAGGCTCTGGGAGCGCTCCATGGGATTCTCCGAAAAGCCCACAAGATCCAGAGGAAGAACCCAGCGACTACTGAGCACTCTTGCCTTCCTTCCCCACCGTCTGAACACCTCAGGCCCAGCTCTGGCAATGGAGCTGCGCTGCGCTATGCTTTGTAATGATGCTCCCCAGCCCACCTGATCCCTGTTGACCTCTTCAACCTCACCCTGGACCTCTCTTCAGCCGCTTCAACTAGGGTGGGCCCTGCTCTGGCCCAGTTCCTAGAAAACACTGCTTGAGTTCCTATCTGCCAACCTTGCCTCTGCACCCAGTGTTCCCCGTGTCTGAAACACAGTGGCTCTCCCCATTTCCCACCCTATATACCCCACTCCCCCTACTCCCTCTTCCCCAGGCTAGCTCCTCCGTGCATCAAGGCTCAGCTAAAGAGCATCCTCCCCAGGCGTTTTCCTTATGGCCTCTCTAGCATTCACAACACTTGCTTCGCGTTGAGAATTACTGTTCTAGAGAAATATTAGCACGGGTGTGTAAAATGTCACACATTACATCACTGTTTGTAAAACTGGATATAACACAAGTGCTGGGCAGCCCCAGTGTCTCAGCGGTTTAGCGCCACCTTCAGCCCAGGGTGTGATCTTGGAGACTCAGAATCAAATCCCATGTTGGGCTCCCCGCATGGAGTCTGCTTCTCCCTCTGCCTGTGTCTCTGTCCCTCTCTCTCTCTCTTTCTCTGTGTCTCTCATGAATAAATAAATAAAATCTTAAAAAAAAAACCACTCAAGTGCTTATCAATAGACAGATGGATAAATATACTAAGTCACATCCAAGCAATGGAATCCTATGCAGTCATTAAAAAGGATGAGCCAGGGGCAGCCCGGGTGAAAAACAGTAAGACCTAATACACTCTGTAGGGCAGCAGAAAGCATAGGGGAGAAGCCTGTATGAACACACACAACAGTTTGGTAAGATTACCTTTGGGGGAAGGGTTGGCAATGGAAGAGAGAAAACACACTTTTCCTTTTTTCTTTTTATTTAAGATTTTATTTGAGAGAGAGAGAGAGAGAGAGAGAGAGAGAGAGAGAAAATGAGCATGAGCAGGGGGAGAGGAAGAGGGAGAGAGAAAGGGAAAAGCAGACTCTCCACTGAGCAAGGAGTCTGATGTGGGGCTCGATCCCAGGACCCTGAGATCATGACCTGAGCCGAAGGCAGATGCTTAACTCCAGGTGCCACTCCCTTTTTCTTTTCTTTTTTTTTAAGATTTTATTTATGTATTCATAGAGAGAGAGAGAGAGAGAGAGAGAGAGAGGCAGAGGGAGAAACAGACTCCATGCAGGGAGCCCGATGTGGGACTCAATCCCAGGTCTCCAGGATCAGGCCCTGGGCTGAAGGCGGCGCTAAACCACTGAGCCACCTGGGCTGCCCCCTTTTTCTTTATACAATTCTGTATCATGTGAATTTGTTATGCACCAACCGACTCAAAACAACTAAAGCTGAATATAAAATGATTTTAGAAGGGGCAACAGCATTAACCTAGTTCTTGAATACCAATAGTAACAGGAAACTCAGTGCCCACACAGGGCCAAGCTCTACACGTCACTGACTCTTTTTCTCCACTGGAACTCTGCACCACTCCCTCAGCCCCAGCCCAAATTCACTCTCCTGACAATACCAAAAAGTGCTCCAAGCCATCTTTAAAACTAACAAGGCCCTAAGGTAGCTTCATCAGCAAAGTATTCTAAAACAACATTTTAGGGACACCTGGGTGGCTCAGCGGTTGAGCGTCTGCCTTCGGCTCAGGTCGTGATCCCGGGATTCGGGATCTGGGATCGAGTCCCACGTGGGGCTCCTGCGAAGAGCCTGCTTCTCCCTCTGCTTGTCTCTGCCTCTCTCTCTCTCTGTATCGCTCATGAATAAATAAATAAATCTTTAAAAAAAGCAAAACAAATAAAATAACATTTTATTAAAATTCTATTGGTGGGACGCCTGGGTGGCTGAACAGCTGACTCTTGATTTCAGCTCAGGTCATGATCTCAGGGTGGTGAGTTCAAGCCCCACATCCGGCTTTGTGCTAGAGAAGGAGTCTGCTTGAGATTCTCTCTGCCCCTCTCTCTTCCACTGGCACACACACTCTCTCTCTTAATAAATAAATAAAATCTTATTAAAAAAAAAAACAAAAAAACCTCTCATGTATGAAATCTCCCCACCCCTGCCAGGAATGTGCCCATTTCTTGGCAGCTTCTTCCTCTTTCCCATTAACTTTCTGACATTAACTCAAACTGCTTCTCTCCAGGCACCTGTGAGAAGCAGCTTAAACACTGGCTTGTGACTGGGAGGCACGGTGTCTCCCGGCCTGGGGCCACTGAGATCACTCTGAGCAGGGTGAGTGCTCTGCCATCAGGGAGGGAATGGGTCATCTTCATAAACAAGCAGCTCTGCATAGCTGGACATAACAGAAGACCTCAGATCAATAAGTCTGAGTTCAAATTTTGCCTCTTCCTAGCCCCCTGGGAGGCTTATTTAACCTTGGTTCTCCTCTCTTCTGTAAAATAGAAACGAGGTCTGCCCTGCCTAACAGACTGCTGAGAGGATCATGCAAGATCCCGTATATGGTAAGCTCTGTAGAAAAGTTAAGTCAAGGAACCCTGGGTGGCCCGGCGGTTTGGCGCCGCCTTCAGCCCAGGGAGTGATCCTGGGGACCCGGGATCGAGTCCAGCGTCCGGCTCCCTGCATGGAGCCTGCATCTCCCTAGGCCTGTATCTCTGCTTCTCTCTCTCTCTGTGTGTGTGTGTGTGTGTGTGTGTGTGTGTGTCTTTCATGAATAAATAAATAAAATCTTAAAAAAAAAAAGGTCTAAAAACCATGAAAGTCTAAAACCCATGAAAGGGCTGGTTGAATCGAATCCCATAGTGACCTTACTTTTTCCGCTTGTTCGAATTTCCTTCTTGTACCAGTAAACCTTGAGATTTACCTAAAGAGACAAAATATAAATGAACCGTAACTATATGCACGATACACGGAACAGAGCACCCGGAGCCGGGGCCCGCTGGAGCGAGCGGCAGGAGGGGCGAGCCGGCCTCCGCCACCCTCTTCTCTTCACTGCAGAAGCCCTGGCGTCGGGCTGCCAGCCGGGAGCTCCCGCGCCCGTGCGCCCACGCGTGCGGCCGGGGGTCCCGCAGACGTCCCCGCGTGTGGACACCGGCGTCCAGCTCTGCCTCGGGCCGTTCTCTCCCTGAGTCCGAGCAGACGCCCGTGAAACAGGCACCCACGTGTATGGGTGTCCCGCGTGTGAGCGAGGTTTTTGCTCCCTGAGGATGCGCCTCAGGTCGGGCGTGACATGAGCGCGTACAGGCCCTGCCCCCGCCGTGAGTGCCGGCGCGCGTGTGCGACCCACCCGTCCCGGAGCGCAACGGCGAGGAAGGGGCAGGTAGAGGTCACTCACCCCGCACGCAGGGCGCGGCCCGACTCCGCGCGGGCTTCTCTTCCAACCTCCTCACGCAGTCTCACAGCAAAACTAATTGCGCTCGGCAGCAACTGACGGGCTCTCGGGCCAATCAGAGTGCAGCTTCCCACAGACTCTGGGCCAATAGTTGTACAGCCACAGACGGGCAACACCTCTTTGCAAGGTGTCACTGGGTAATGTAGTCCGCCGCTGCTGAGGCTGGTTCTCCCCGCCTCCCCCGCCTTACCAGGCGCAGAGCTTTCTGGGAGATGTAGTCTCGCTGCGCGCGCGTGCGCCAGTGTTAATCACCCGTGGGTAGAGGGTGCGTCCCGGAGTCTGGCAGTGTCCTTGGGCGGTGCCGCGCTGAGTGGCCTGTGGCTCCCGTCGTCCTGCGACCGGGTGGAAGCTTGAGTACCCTGAATTTGACCCGCTTTCCTCAAAACCCTCAGAGTCCCCAGAACTCAGATAATCTAAACTTGCGAAAGATGGCGGGAAGTTTAGCTAAAGCCTGGAGGACTTGGGGAAAGAGTAAATGGGTTTTTGAAACCAGGAAGAGCAAGGCAAAAATGTGGTTTTGTTTCCCCTTAGGGTTTACTGTGCATAATTACTTATTATAAAAATCTTATAACAATACATTACAGACGCTACAGAAAATGTAGAAATGAAGGGGGAAATGACTCATCCTACGGCTCTCACACCAAATAGCATCAGCGTTTTGCAGGACAGTGTTTCTTCCTGATTTCTTTCTTTTTTTTTTTTTTTAAGATTTTATTTATTTATCCATGACAGAAAGAGAGAGGCAGAGACACAGGCAGAGAGAGTGGGAGAGAAGCAGGCTCCATGCAGGGAGCCTGACGTGGGACTGGATCCCCGGTCTCCAGGATCAGGCCCTGGGCTGAAGGCGGCGCTAAACCGTTGAGCCACCTGGGCTGCTCTCTTCCTGATTTCTTAATTGCATTTTCCCCATTAGCGCAATCACTTTGACCTACAGTTTTATTTTTTTTAATTTATTTATTCACGGAGAGAGGCAGGCTCCACGCAGGGAGCCTGATGGATGCAGGACTCGATTCCGGGACTCCAGGATCTCGCCCTGAGCCAAAGGCAGAGGCTCAACCGCTGAGCCACCCAGGGATCCCTGATGCACAGTTTTATTTATTTATTTATTTATTTATTTATTTATTTATTTATTTATTTATTTATTTTTTTTATTTTATTTTTTTATTTTTTTTTGATGCACAGTTTTTTTTTAAGATTTTATTTATTTATTCATGATAGACACAGAGAAAGAGAGAGAGAGAGGCAGAGACACAGGCAGAGAGAGAAGCAGGCTCCATGCGGGGAGCCTGATGTGGGACTTGATCCCGGGACTCCAGGATCATGCCCCCGGCCAAAGGCAGGCGCCAAACCACTGAGCAACCCAGGGATCCCCTGATGGACAGTTTTAAAACATCATTCCCCTCAACGTTATTTTGAGGTATACCAGCCATCATTGTCCTTTTAAAACATATTCCCAAACTATTAATCGCCCAAAGGAAATTAACAATAATTTTCCTAATACCATCAAATATCAAATTAGTGTTTACAGGGATCCCTGGGTGGCGCAGCGGTTTGGCGCCTGCCTTTGGCCCAGGGTGCGATCCTGGAGACCCGGGATCGAATCCCACGTCGGGCTCCCGGTGCATGGAGCCTGCTTCTCCCTCTCCCTGTGTCTCTGCCTCTCTCTCTCTGTGTGACTATCATAAATAAGTAATAATTAAAAAAAAACAAATTAGTGTTTACAGTTACCTGATTGGCCTATAAATGTCATTTTTTAAAAAGTTTGTCTAATTGAGATCCAGACCATACATTGCAACTGGTTAATATACCTCAAGTCTTTTCAAATCTATGGTTTCCCTCTTTTTTTTTTTTTTACTTGCAATTTCTTTTATTTTCTTCTCATTTCTTTTCCTTCCCTTCTCTCTCTCTCTTTTTTTTTCCTTCCCTTCTCTATTTATTTGGGTTTTTTAAAAGAAAGCAGGTGGTTTCTCTGGTAGAGTTTTTCCCAGGCTGGATTTTTTTTTTTTTTAAGATTTATTCATTCATTCATGATAGACATACACAGAGAGAGAGGCAGAGACACAAGCAGGCTCCATGCCGGGAGCCTGCAGTGGGACTCGATCCCGGGACTGCAGCATTGCGCCCTGGGCAAAGGCAGGCGCTAATCTGCTGAGCCACCCAGGGATCCTCTCCCAGGCTGGATCTTGCTGGTGGCACCTGTGTGGAATTCTTCTAACATCTTACTCTGCTTCCTGTGTTCTCTGCGTGTTGGTAGTTAGATCTAAAGGGTCTGATCAGATCAAGTTTGATTTTTTTTTTTAAGATTACTCATGTGGTATTGTGTCCTTCCACAAGGAGGATCACAATGTGTGCTTGTCTCTCATTTTGTGATGTTTACAGTCATTAAAATCATTGCATTGAGGGCAACCCCAGTGGTTCAGCGGTTTAGTGGCTCCAGGGTGTGATCCTGGAGACCCGGGATCGGGATCAAGTCCCACATCAGGCTCCCTGTATGGAGCCTGCTTCTCCCTCTGCCTGTGTCTCTGCCTCTCTGTGTGTCTCTCATGAATAAATAAAGTCTTTAAAAATATATATATATATATATTAATATCATTGCATTGATTAGGGCTTGTAAATAGTGACATCACTTCAGAATTTATGCTAGAATACCTGTAGGAGGAACATCTCTTCATTGGTTAATTGATTACATGAGGTACACTTCACAGAAGAAAGGTGAGATAAGCTTGTGACTCTTTTAGCAGTTTTCAAAATAATTAATTGGTTCCCTAGTAACTTCCAAAGGTAATTGATCAATGATATTTTTATTGTCATTATGACCACTAACATTTTATTTTGTTTTAACTTTATTTATTTATTTTTTTTTTAAGTAAGCTCTACACCCAACATGAGGCTTGAACTCATGATCCTGAGATCAAGAGTCCCATGCTCTATGGACTGAGCCAGCCAGGTGTCAACATGAAACATATTTTATATCTATCATTATGAACACATGAATTTAAACATATTTGTTCTTGGAGCACCTGGCTGGCTCAGTTGATAGAAGATGGGACTCTTGATCTTGGGGTTGTGAGTCAAGCCCCATGTTGGGTGTAGGGTTCACTTAAAAAAAATAAAATAAGGGGGACGCCTGGGTGGCTCAGTAGTTGAGCATCTGCCTTTGGCTCCAGGCATTATCCCGGAGTCCCAGGATAGAGTCCCACATTAGATTCCCTGCATGGGGCCTGCTTCTCTCTGCCTGTGTCTTTACCTCTCTCTGTGTGTTTCTCATGAATAAATAAATAAAATCTTTTTTTTTATTTTAAAAATAAATAAAAATAAAATAAGGGTGCTTGGGTGGCTCAGTCAGTAAGTATCTGCCTTTGGCTCAGGTCATGATCTCAGGGTCCTGGGATCGAGCCCCATGTCAGGCTCCTTGCTCAGCAGGAAGCCTGCTTCTCCCTCTCCCACTACCCCTCTTTCCTGCTTGTGCTGTCTCTCTCTATCAAATAAATAAATCTTAAAAGAAAAGAAAAAGAGGGACCCCTGGGTGGCTCAGTGGCTGAGTGTCTACCTTTTGCTCAGGGTGTGCGCCTGGAGTCTTGGGATCGAGTCCTGTATCAAGCTATGCCTCTCTCTCTGTGTCTCTCATGAATATATAACATCTAAAAAAAAGAAGAAAGAAAGAAAGAAAGAAAGAAAGAAAGAAAGAAAGAAAGAAAGAAAGAAAGAAAAGAAAAGAAAATATTAAAGTGGCGCACAAGGGACAGAACCAGATACAGAAATTTGACTTTTTGTCCTTGAAAATATCCTCCTCTTTGCCATCAGGGGCTCCTTTGTCCTCACTCACCTCCTCTGTCTCTTTGCTTGGAGATTGCCTTATTTCCCCCATGAAAGCCCAGCCTGTGTTATAGCTCTGTTTTCATCAGTTTTATGGACTGGCTCCTATCCCTCTCACTTAATCTCCTCAGCTCTAGAGATCTTTGGTTCTATTTTGTTCTGGATTAGAACAAGCCCACACTTTAGCAGACACCTCCCAATGGGCACTCCACAGCAGGGCTTTCGCTACTGACTAATTGTAGAGTGAGTTAGACTCAGGGAACTACAGATCGCAAGAACTGGAAAGACTCACGGAAATCACTTAGTCCTGCCAGGGCCCAAGGTCCTTCAAGGTCGGATGGCAAATTCCTGGCCCTGCTGACATGAGATCAGTGGCAGGTGCCAGCTTTCCTGGGCTTACACCCTGGCTCCGTTTTTGCATATTTAAAATTTGATCATTTCATTTTAAGTTAAATATACTAAGTAAATCACATCACGTGAAAAGAGAAACCAGAGAAAAACGTTTCCTGTCAGCTTGAGGAAGTGAATCCTTCTGTGACCTCATCAAAATTTTACCCTAAAGAGACCTATTTAAAAGCTTCTTTGGATTTCCCCTGCCTTCTAAGAGGAAGTAAATACCTCGTTGGCCTTGACTGAATAGACTTGGTATTTATCAGCTGCCTCACAAATGAGCTTTTCGGGATCCCTGGGTGGTGCAGTGGTTTAGCGCCTGCCTTTGGCCCAGGGTGCGATCCTGGAGACCTGGGATCGAATCCCACGTCAGGCTCCCGATGCATGGAGCCTGCTTCTCTCTCTCTCTCTCTCTCTCTGTGTGTGACTATCATAAATAAACTAAAACAAAAAAACAAATGAGCTTTTCAATCACAGGTGAAAGAACTTCTTACTGCCTGAGGGGGCTGCTCAGCTGAGGCCTAGAGCCAGGAGGTGACTTGCTGTGGCTCTGTGGCAAGGGACTGCAGTTTTTCTATCTATGAAGATGGAAGTGTTGGACTATAAGGTGTCCAAGCTTTACTGCCTCTGTACGTCCAAAGGTCTAAAAATATCTGCATTTTTAGTGGGTAGACAAGGGTTCTCAGCTTCAGCTAATCATCTGGGATGCTTATTTTAAAATGCAGATACCAGGGTACCTGTGGCTCAGTGGTTGAGCATCCACCTTTGGCTCAGGTCATAATCCTGGAGTCCTGGGCTCAGGTCCCACAT